TAGTATTGTTTAGATCAGTGTTTCTCAACCTCTCCTGCAGGGACCCCCTGACAGGCCATGTTTCTGTTTTAACCCTGAAATGGCACACCTGATTCAAGTCATTAAAGGCTTAATGAGTAGTTGACTAATTGATTAATTGAACTATTCCTACTCTAATTACTCATTAAGCCTTTAATTACTTGAATCAGGTGTGCCATTTCAGAGTTAAAACAAAAACATGGCCTGTCAGGGGGTCCCTGCAGGAGAGGTTGAGAAACACTGGTTTAGATCCTTGTTCTGCATGGGATTACTATCTGATTGTTAGCCATGGTTTATTTTCGGATGTCACTCACAGCTTCCAGACGCTCTCAACGCAAAAGCTTCGCGCGCTCGTGTCGTGATTATTTAGCTCCGCCCACACGGCAAGCCTCCACCCGCTCGGGTTTTTCCGGAAAGACTCGGTACAGCCTATCTTTCTTTTATAAATATAATAAAACTAAAGACTTTTTGGAGATATGAAGGATGCAATACTACTCTATAGGTACTCAAGATTAACATGAGATTGAGTGAAACTGAGTGTTTCACCCCCCCTTTAAGCCAAATCAAGCAACATTTTTCAGGCACTCTTTCTTGCAGCTAGAAATGTGTATGATATCACTAGAATTGCCTTTGACCTTAGTTCAAATCATTGTCAACTACCTGTGGCACGATTATATTTATTTAATTGTTTAAATACATTTTTGGATGATCAGTCAACTGGAATGGATAAAGAAAACAAAAAACAAAGCCTAATTGGACAGAGGAGGAGAAATGCATTCTTCTTGACGAATATGGTAAAAGAAAAACAATTTTGAAATTTTGAAAAGCAAACTAAATCCCAATGTAACTGCGGCAAAAAACAGCAAATGCAGTGCTATAAGCAGTTGTAACACCACAGGAAAAGAGTGGTTGCGATGTGTGACATAGTCAAGGTCGCCGTATAGTTTGTTAGCTAAAATAAACATAATTGTGTTATCGTATGATAAACGGGATTAAGCGCTGAGCACGTCCGACTTTGGCTCAGCGCCAGCCATAGCACGAAAGCACAGTTTAAATCTGGCAGTTATGTCACGTCACTGTACGTTCGCTCCTTAGTGGTCAGCTCAGCTGCTGCAAAGCGTGCCAAAATCGAAATTGCTGATTAGATGTAGAGGAACTTATCTAGTGTTAAATGAGTGTTACATTATCTCTCTCACGAGAATGCAGCGTAAAGTGAGTGACGTCAGTGAGTGTGTTGTCAAGCAAGGAGAGCGAGCGGCAGCAGTGTCTGTGAGGGAAAAAATAGATCACGGCCGGTCTTGGACCCCGAAACAGGAAAAGTGTAACATCGTATATCAAATTTTTATAACCTATTTAGTCAGAAACAACGTCATTCATTTGATGAATGCTCAAGTCCGATTTTATAGATCTCGAGTCCGAGTCCAAGTACTAGTCATCAGTCCACGAGTCCAAGTCGAGTCTCGAGTCCAGAGAATAAGGACTCGAGTCCAAGTCCAGGACTCGGGTACTCCGTCACTGGTTCACACAACATTTTTGTTGTGAAAACTGAAATTTTATTAGTAGGCACTAAATCAAAATTGCGTAATTGTGGAAGTTTTAAACTTTATATGTTATTCTGTTATTTTTCCTTCTTCTCAGGTCAAGAGTCTGGGTGTCATTTTAGACAGTAGGCTACTTTTCTTGTTTCGTGGCTCACGTAAATAATATCACACGGTCCACATACTATTATTTGCGAAGTATTAATCGTCTTCGACCATCCTTATCTGCTAGTGGCACTGCGGTCCTCGTGCATGCATTAGTGACTTCTCGAATTGACTATTGTAACTCTCTGCTTAGTGGCGTTTCACAGAAAATTATTCATAAACTCCAGATGGTTCAGAACTCAGCGGCTCGGATCATTGCACGAACATCACTGAGCGAGCATATTACTCTGGTTTTGGGGCATCTTCATTGGCTTCCAATTAAATCTCGTATTCAATTCAAAATCCTACTTTTTACATACAAGGCCTAACATAATCTAGCACCGTCGTATCTCAGTGAACTTCTTCATGTGTATGTACCTACTCGATCCCTCAGGTCTTCTGCTTCTGGCAGTCTTGTCATACCACCTGTGCGTTTAACTACTATGGGGGGTAGAGCTTTTAGCTATAATGCTCCAGCAATGTGGAACATTTTACCTCATTATATACGCAACAGCCTGGGTCTTTCAATTTTAAAGTCACGTCTCAAAACCTATTTATTAAGACTAGCTTATCCTGATTGATTTTAGTATTGTTACTGGGTATTCTTTTTATAAATCATTTTATATTGTTGATCGTACTATTTATTGTGTTGCTGTTTTCTTCTGTATAACTATGTATTTTATCATTGTAAGGTGTCCTTGAGTGTCTTGAAAGGCGCCCACAAATATTATTATTATTTATTGTATTTTTGAATAATTTGGCAACCTTTTAAAAGTTTAGATTTCAACAATGATTTGGAGTATGTGTCATTTAAAAGTTGATATAAAACCCTTCGTTATGTGCAATTCATATAATCAACTTAACTATATATATTATGGCATGCCATTCAGGAAATTATTGTATTTATAATATGAAGTTTGAATATATGGAATGAAACTCTGAATATATACCAATATACCATATTCATAACATTAATACGTTTAGGTGTAGCAGTTCACATAAACTATTACACTTGTTGTGTTGTATGTTATAGCTCACACAGAGGAGTGGAATATTATTTTAATAACATACGCCACTGACGCTTATGCGCAAGTTCACACATTTAGGCAAAAAAGGATCAGTGGGAGACACGACTGTCTCAGAGCAATAAGACGGTTGTGTAAGTCGCTAGAGTTTAGGCCGGGAGTTTGTAGAGATCCTGAAGATCAGCTGGTGCAGGTGCATTTAATTCGCACTGGACGACCCTGATGTAAAAAAGTGATTTTACCATGTTTTATTTCATTTCACACTGTTTCCGTCACATTCCACTGATGCACCTGCATGGGCGGCTCATATTCAGTCATGTGACACAGTGAAGTGAACCTCTGCCCTCCTCCAGTATCCCATCATGCACCAAAGATGAGGGCATACACTGGGTAAAGATATCCTTTTCATGCAGGTGATCGTCCGATAGCGGAGCAATGCACCTGCACTGTTATCAGAGATTAAACCAGGAAATATTATGTCTACGGACACGTTACAGAGGAATGACAACACTGCAGCGAACAGAAAGATATAACACTGAGAGTGTTCATTCAAGTTAAATCTACACAGATCCTAGCATTTACAACAGTGCACAGGTACTGCCTTCTCTGGAAATACTGGAACGAATAAAGATACGCCATAAAGAGTGAAAAAGACACCGCTTCTTCAATCTTTTAAATAAGAGAATCTGACCTACAACCAGGAATGGAACCAGGCCTTCTGACAGAAGTGAATTTCTTGCTTTGTTACTTTACATGACACTCATTTGTGTTCAGTTTTGGGAGGGTGATCTGGCACACGAGGAGAACTATAGAGCCACATCTTTTTTTAAACTCAATAAGGTGCACGTCCCCCTGTAATCAATAATTGTATCCCTTAAAACTCATCTTTGGTGATCAAAATGAAAATAATAATTTCTTTGGAAAAAAAATATTCGGGCCTTAAAATATCTTGAATGTAACTCGACACCCTTGCCTCATTTAGTATGCGCGGTTCTATGAATATGCAAATGAGCCCCGCTTCCACTCACTCACTCAGCTCAGAGATCCACTGGTTGACGATCACACGTTGATCTGATTGGTTACAAGGTCGTTTGTGACGTCAGAAACACCAGCGATTTCAAACCGTGTTTTTGAGACTGTCTTTGGTTCACTGCAGTTTAAGCAGAAAATACTCAGCAATGCTGTCGACTTATGAACTTACACATGGTTTGTCTTAAAGCGTATTAAAAACATTAACATTAATTAACTAAATTAGTTAACAGGAATTAGCAAGGAAAAAATACTTCTAAAACACTTATTAATCTTAGTTAAAGTTAATTTTAACATTTAGTAATACATTCTGAAAATCAAAAGTTGTATCTGTTAATATTATTTAATAGACCTGAGCTGACATGAACTTACAATGAACAGTATTTGTTTTAATTAACTATCATTTACAAGGATTATGTAGCAAATGACTTGCTTATTGTTAGTTAATGCCTTAACTAATGAGACATTAGAGTAACGTTACCAGGTTTTTCATCTAATGTTGATATTTTCATTTTATTGCAGGTTAATATTAATTAACAAACAGTTTCATGTTTTCTATAGTTTTAGTTTAAGTTAATAGCCCTGCTAATATGTTAATTAATATTAACATTAGTCAGAGAAGTGATGAATTGAATGTGTCAGTGTTTGACCTCATGCAGGTTTTAACACCCCATTATCGTTCAGAATGAGAAACATTTGGACTGGAATCTCGTTCTGTTTTCACCTCCAGAAACAGTCCGTCATGAGTAAAGTCTGCGTTCTTCTGCTCGAGCTCACAGCAGAGAGTGTGACGGGACGCAGCACGGACTTTAAACAGCACAGTCAAATAATAATGCTGATCTATGGGGTTTGAAACCTTGTTTGAGTGTTTTTGAGTGACAAAATTGAGTGTTTTTATGCCTGATTTTTTGTTAAAAAACAGGAAAAACAACATTGATGTATAATATAAGCCATCATATTGGCTATCTATATAGATGTATTCATTCAATTTCAACATTGACGAATCCGGCCCTAAGTTCAGTCAGGTTCTCCTCTAGTATGTGGAACCATTGGCGTTTAGCCTTTATGTAAACATGTGATTTTGTGTTTTGTATTTTTTGTATTTGTCTGTTACTGTTTATGTTTTGTAACCGTTTGTGGTTGGACCATGTGTGTCCTTAATAAAGCTTTGATGATGATGATATCTGCATGCCATGATTTAAAAATATTGATTAGCCAAAATGTCCCATTATGTGAGGCGTCTTACCGAAGCAGTTGCACCGGTGAGGGACGAACATCTTGCAGGCTGTGGCGATGTGGATCTCAGCACTCAGAACAGCTTTAATGATTAGATCCTCGATCTGGCCCATGAGCACTGACACACACAGAGAAGCAAGCATCAGCTTATTTAAACATTTATATATTCCCTTTATCATGCCAAACATGACCACTCACAAAAGCATCAGCAACAGTTTTCCTCCCATCTCATATTATTTTTAGGGCTGTCAAATGATTAATCACGATTAATCACATCCAAAATAAAAGTTTTTTTACATAATATATGTGGGTGCACTGTGAATTATTAATTTCTATATATATATAAATACACACACATGCATGTATATTTAAGAAAAAAATATTATTTATATATAAAATATTTATATTTGTATATAATATAAATTATATCTAAATCTATATACAGTATATACATGAAAATATTTCTTAAATATATACAAGCATGTGTGTGTATTTATATATATAAAATAATTATACACAGTGCACCCACATATATTATGTAAATATATGATTAATCGATTAATCATTTGACAGCCCTAATTATTTTCCATCACTAGTTTTGCAAGTAAACGTACAGTTTCTCAAGGGAAAGCAACACTTTTGCATTGTTCCAGAAAAGAGAGAGAGAGCAAAACGTTCTGAAAGCAAACACAATGTCTCTCAGGGAAAACTTTCTCTTTTTTTTTTTTTGAAAGAATGAAAATAATTTTCCTCCCATCTCATATTATTTATTTCCATCACCAGTTTTGCATTCGCTTGCAAAAGTTTGTGAGAGGATGCAACATTTTAAAAAGCAAATGCAAAGTTTCTCAGAAAGAAAAACTTTTTTGACTGAAATTTCAGGAACATTTTTCAGGAACAAAATGAATTTTCCCTCCACAGACGCACGCCGGCAAACTAGGGAATGAACTTGCGCTCCCTGGGCGGTTCAGCGCAGAAAAGGAGGCGTGTTTCGGCGCAAACAATCCCTGTTGCTATTGTGCAGTTCCAGAAAACGATTGCGCCACTGACCAGAAAAACCCTAGTCTAAAGTCAGTGGCGCGTTGCGCGTACATTCAGATGCTATTTTAAGCGCGCATGCTTGGCCATAATACAGAGTGTGAACAACGCGCATACACTGTAGATGACTCTCTCATCTACACAGATGCATTTTACTTTTTGCAAATGATACATTATTATAAGCAAAAATATTAAAACACGAGGGAAATCATTGTTGTGTCCATGGCGATGGGAAAAATAGGCTTAAAGCTTACACATTTACCCAAATTATTATATGCATGTTTAACCGAAGCTAATTTGGGTGGGTTTGTCCCGTCCCCAATGTCACTTCTCTTTCTTTTACTGCCCTGACGAGAACATCGATCTCCTCGGCTGTGAACCGATCCTTAAATGCGCCGTTATAATAGTATTGGGCCATGGAACAAGCGCACCTCGTTCATCATGCTCTTAAAGGGAATGTGAGATGACGCTCTGATTGGTTTGTTTCCCGTTACGCCCAAACCACACCTATGAATAATGAAGCTACTTCAGACCAACCCCTTTTAGGTTTGCGTCAACGCGCAAGAGTCATTTATCCCGCCGGTTAAACAGCAACAGCGCCGAGATCCGCCCACTAAGTTACTTGCGCTTTGCGCTTGCGTTTTAGATCGTTAAAATAGGGCCCTAAGTGTTCAAGTTGTTTTTTTGTCTAAATTGGTGTATATATTTACTTATGATATAATAATTTAATAGCAAATGAGTTGTTAAATGAAATGAAACTTATTTGACAAAAAATATCTGACAAAATAAAATGTGCAGTGACAAAATTTCAAAGTGAGTCACAATGCAAGTCCTAAACCCAGCGATGTTTGTGAGGAGTAACAAGCGTGTCAGTCTCCACATGATGAATGACTGTAGATCAGCTCTTCTAATGTCAGATGTTAGGCCGTGTTAAACGAGCATCTTAGATATACTCACATGTGGTGTCTTTGCCTTCTTGCCTCAAATACCTCAGCATTGCGCTCATGCTCCATTTGTTCCCATAATCCTCTACTTCAGGGTCATCGCAGCTGAAAGGAAGAGAAACCCTGACTGTCAGCACTATAAAAACACTACTGAGAAATGGGCACAACGCAACAATGTTGACATGATTAGCAAACACAAGGATTAGTTTGTATTTGAAATCACATTCCGGAGCCGTTTAAGTGATTATTTAACTATTATTTCTGTCAGCTTAGATCGGTTCTCGTTACTGTACATGCATGATGCTTTATGGCACGTCGCTGCCATCAGGAATTAAGGATTATTGGATCATAACCTCACGCACATGTAGATGGAAAGACTTTTCTCACATTGACTTTGGTGTTCAGTAGGTTTAAACACGCTCAAATGTGTCTAAGATCGCAATAATGATCTGCTGATCTACTTTTAAAAGAAGATTTTTTTTTAACTCTCTCTTCAAAAATAATTTGCATCTTTCATTAATACTGCAAAAAAAGATATTTTGATGATTTATGATCACATGGGCAGAAAACATGTTGCACATTGCAATATATCCTTTTTTTTTTTTGTTAACGATATTTTGAAAGTTAATATATTGTCCCATCCATATAGGTGATATTTCAATTCTATTCATCCTTAAACTTTAAAATGCTTTTTAAACTTAAATAAAAACTTCCAAATGATGCTTTGTCTAGACAGTATTGAATTCTACTTACATTTAATTTTGCATTTAAATTCGAATTCAGGAAGTGATAGTTTAATTGGCTGATAGTGATAGTTTGGCTAGTTTATCTTAACTCTCTTTACATTACCGCCCAAAAGTTGGGTCTAATTAAGATTTTTGAATGTTTTATTTTTTAACAGCATATTAGAGTGATTTCTGAAGGATCATGTGACACTGAGGAGTAATGATGCTGAAAATACAGCTTTGATCACAGGAATAAATTACACTTTACTATATATTCACATAGAAAACAGCTAAAGTTTAAATTGTAATAATGATATTTCACTTTTTACTGTATTTTTGATCAAATAATTGCATGAGCAGATGATGACTTTTTTAAAAGTCCTAACGATTTCAAACTTTTGACCAGTAGTGTATTAATTCATTTGTGTATTATTATTTATTTATTTATTTTGAACTGTTGAATCAAATTGAATATTTCCAGAGAACCCGTAAATATGAATCTATTTAATTGAGGAAAAAACAAAACAGATTTTTGCTGCTTGTTCAATTTGGTTAAATTTAAAAGAGCTATAATGCAAAACAGTTACTGAACATTTTATCACGACTTTTATTGTGTACAATCTACTTGAGTGTGTAAAGTAGGAGTCAGCACCCTGTACAATACATTTACATAATACAGCACAGCCTCTGTTTTCCTGTTCGAACTGTGTCATTAAAATACCAGCCGAACTGTTGGCACACGAATGCGGCGCTTAATAGCGGGAGTCTGGAGATATTTATATCCACGCGACGCCACCTGAAGGTCTCCGCTTGCTCACCTGACGTAGTCGCTGCTCTTTTTGTTGACACTGTAGTTGGTCAGATGCATGAACTGGTTCTTGATGTTTGCTGTGGCGTGGTCATACTTCACCGTGGCAAACCTACAACACACACAACCGAGAAGGAAAACATGAGCTTAATAGCGATCGTGACATTTAATGGACCTGTTGAAAAGAATAAACAGGTAAAGTACCAAAGCAAACTAGCAAATCATCGTCCACCAGCGCTAGGACGAATTAGATTATTATATTTTGGTGGTGGGCTTTTTCACTGGTGCTGTGGGTAAAATAGTTTAGGAATGTCTCAAATCACAAAATATGGGCAACAGTAATACAGGGATGATGTATTTTTCATAGGCCGAGTTGTATTTTAGCACTTCCGGTTCCATCATCCTAAAGTCAATGGGGTTTTTTGGTTAAACGCCTGAAATGAGGTCTGTGGTAAACACAAGCTCGAGATATTTTTATTCACGTTTTAGTCTATAAATACATCAGTAATGCCACCTTGTGATATTTTAAAGTTTTATACTTTCTAACAAGTGGACTACACGTCATCACGGCGAGCAGATAAACTCATCTACTCACTAGCCGCTTTCACAGCGTCGTTGTGTTTATAATCACGCTCTTGCAAACCATTCGAACTCAAACTTTCAGGGGAAAATGTTTTTTAAATAAAGGCTGAAAGAGTTATTGAAGCTTGAAGTCAGCATGAAACAGAAGTTGCGCTGGTCTTTTCTTCTCTATTGTGTCGTATATCGAGCGAAACGCTTCTGGAACAGGAACAAATGTGGGCGGGGCTTGATTGTGTCTGTGGGGAACTGATTGGATGGTTGTGGTTTGCTATTGGCTGATCTCATGTGAGTGACAGGTTATAGCCCCGCCCTCGTCATCAGAGAAGGGAAGAGATGCTGCAACTTATTCTGATTCAAGATTACCAGGAACAGGAATTTAACACAATAATGATGTGTACATATAAAATTAATTTTAATAATTTTGATTTCATTGTGACTTTAAAGGTGGTGACGTTGAAGTCATGTGACCGTGGTGTAGTTCATTTAGCTTTTTGACTTTGTATTTTATTTAGGCTTCAAAATCCATAAATGTTCCGTTCGTTTCTGAAGATCATCATGATGATCAAAACAAGTATGAATCATAAACTTTTGTTGGTCACAAGGCTTATTTATTGCAATGATCCAAAAGCCAATGAAACAACTCGATTGGGTTTTTGTTGGCCTACAAAAATATGTCATCACTGATACTTATAATAATATTTTGGTAACACTTTACAATAAGGTTAGTTAACATTAACAATGAAAAATACTTCTAAAGCTAAAGTTAATTTCAGCAATTACTAATACATAATTAAAACTGTTAATTAATTTAAATGGACCTAAGCTGACATGAACTTACAATTAACAAAGATGAAGAAATACTGTAACAAATGTATTGCTTTTTGTTAGTTGACGCATTAACTCATGTGGCCTTTTATCAATGTTTCTGACAAAATCTCCTTATAAACTTCACGAGTCTTTCTGTGTCAAATCTGACCTGATTTATCAAGGAATAACTTTGATATTGTTAGTAATATTTCAGCTGGACTGGAGCATCTTCGCTTTACTTGATTATCATACATCATTTATAGAAAGTATCAAATATGATCATCAGGCTTTTGAGGAAGATTTATTAGTTCATCTTTCAATCATCATTGCATTGCATTATATGATTTAAAACTACAGAGCTTTGATCATAAAACTAAGCATTTAAATATCAGATTACTAAGACATTGGCATATTTATGCAAGTATCTGCTATACTGTTATAAAGATCTCATTGATTTACATTAAAAGCATCAGAATTTCATCTTACTTTTTATAGTATGCGAGAATACCGCATAATCACAACCCATAACAGAACAAGTGTTATGAACGTAATGGTAAGTGATTGCCGTAAAGCTGGAGGGCAACAGCGCTTGAGGAGTGGACGCCACATGTGCAGGAGGAATGTCCTGGCACACACCGAGCACCTGAACGCCTTCAAAGCTTCTGGGATCTCAGAGATAAGTGTGAGTTGGGGAAGCGCCAGCAGTTGCTGAAAACAAACCCGAGTGTTTTACACACGGCGGCCCACAATACACTGCTCATCCACTCGGCACGCCATCCAAAAAATCAGAGGATTTGTTTGAGCTTCTCACTCGCATGTCTGAGAAAACGCTCTCAGAAGTGCCAGAAGCAGGACTCTGTGCAAATGCGTTTCACAGGCGCTCAGTCCAGGGATTCGGGGCGATCGGGACACTTTCCACACTAAACTTTGCCACTACTATTATCAGAAAAAGAGCCTTTTCAGGTAGAAGAAATCATTTAAAAAGATAATTATATAAGCCGGAGAATGTGCTCGCTACTTAAAAATATATTTTTATTAACAATGTCAGATTTCCTTGATGCTTTAAATACCTTTTTTTTTAAAGCGCCATTTAAAAAAAAAACTTTTGTCAAAGTCCTTCCAGCAATGAGACAATGGAAAGCTTTGTTTGAGGCCTAGATGAGCCGGTCCAACTTCACTGCAAACATCTCTGCTGCCATCTACTGTTTGTGCTCTTTTACTGGCGTGAGGGAATATTTCTGGTTGAATACACTAACTTTTTTGTGGGGGGTTTTAAAACATCAGCTTTAGACACAGAGACAATGATTTAAAAAAAAAAAAAAAGTAATTTTGTAGGCTGATTCCCCCCGAAAGTGTAAAAACTGAGACTCGAAGCACTGGAAATATGTCTGGAACAACAGCTTTATCAACAACATCCGAGCTTTATGAAGCCATTAATAAAGTCAAACTTCCTTCTGGAGAGTCTCTTTCCATATTGAATAATCCCACAGGCCCATGTGACTTATATATTATTATTATTATTATTTTGTTGTTGTAATTTTAAGTATCTGTGCTGCTATTTTCTATTACAACACCATTAAAACAGTGTTAAGCATAAAATACTAGTCTGTTTTTTTTAACTCTGGATCAGTTTTATTTCGCTAAGTATCATATATGCAATTTAGTGCAGATGCTGATATTTATACAGTATTGACAAAAAGTAAGATGAAATTCTGATGCTTTTAATGTAAATGAATGTGATCTTTATAACAGTATAGCAGATACTTACATAAAATACAGATTAATATCAATATCCGCCAATAATGTCTTAGTAATCTGATATTTAAATGCTTAGTTTTATGATCAAATCTCTGTAGTTTTAAATCATATAATGCAATGCAATACAATGATGATTGAGAGATGAACAAATAAACCTCCTCAAAAGCCTGATGATCATATTTGATGCTCATGATTTTTCTATAAATGATGTATGATAATCAAGTAAAGCGAAGCTGCTTCAGTCCAGCTGAAATATTACTAACAATATCAAAGTTATTCCTTGATAAATCAGGTCAGATTTGACACAGAAAGACTCGTGAAGCTCGAGCTGAAGGAGGACGTTTGTACAATTACACTGAAAGACTTTTACTGGATAAAAGAGTGTAAACTCTCAGTCAGAGACAGAAGGACTGAGGAGATCGAGTGCGACAGGTTTAACAACAACTTCTTGTTAAAATGTTTATTTAATAATAATACTAGTCATAATAAGCATATTTCTAGTACGTGGCTCAAACTCGCAGGCTTGCAATAAAAAAAAATCAAAGATAACATAACTATCTGTAGGTTTTTAAATGTTTTATTCAGCTATTGACGTTAATCTCACAACACACAGCAAATCCTCAGTAAAACAACTTTCAACGGTTAGGTGATTTCTGTTTAATTTGGAAGCCAGCAAGCCGGGAGCAGCAGCTCATTTGCATTTAAAGGGACACACACAAAAACGGTGCGTTTTTAACATGCTATATAAAAATATCTGTGGGGTATTTTGAGCTAAAACTTCACACACACACTCTGGGGACATCAGAGATTTATTTTACATCGTGTGAAAACGGCATTATACCACCCCTTTAAAAATCTATTTCCGTCAGGAGAAAATTAATGGAGTTTTTAGTTCCAGAATCAACTGTTGCACTGTTTTACCAGCCACTCAGATTTTTTTCTAAGCAAAAGCATTTCTTATCAGATGTCTTACAGGTGTGACAGTGACTGTTAGATAGCCTGGATGAATGTAAATGAATTACCTGGCCAGCCCTTCCTCATAGAGATAGATCAGGAGAGGGTCATATGAGGTCACCAGCACGTACAGACGCACGTCAAACTTAAAATCTGCAGATGCAAAAGAAACAAACTGAATGTAAAAACATTCGTTATACATAATGAGTTGAATCTGTGAGTGTTTGTGTTGTAGACTCACCGTCAATCAGCAGAGGATTGCTGATGTACCGTGACACCAGGATATTCTCTTCCAGTGGGATCTGACTCGGCTGAAACACCAAGCATGTGTTATTAAGCAGTGCAGGACAAAACTGTCAGATTTCAGAAGCATGTTAGCTTCCCATGATAAACACTCTACTTTATGCAGAGAAGAAGCTTAAAGACACATCAACCAAAACTCAAACAGAAGAGTTTGCAAGCAAAAAGGTAAATTCAAGAGCTGTGAATGATTTTCTCTTTGTCTTGTGTTGTTTGATTCGCATTAATTGTGAAATCGTCAGCAGGTTTATTAGACTGCTTCCACTTTAAGACCCAATGCAGATCTAATACACATCATCATATTTTCTCCCAACTATGTACGCCCATTTAAGACATTAGCTGTGTTTAAGTAAATACTCTCCAAGCCGGTCATTTTGACATATGTTTGTGTGTATTTGATCGTTTAGACGTGTACGTGAAGCTTTAATAAGTAATTAGTAAGTCTTTGGCGGTCCGTTGCGGAGTGCACACACATAAGCCACCTTAAAGTTGGAAACAGCATCTCTTGCATGGATTATTCTGCTTTTAATAGCTCTTTATATTATCAAACACGTCCCGCAATTTAGCAACAGTAGAGACTGGTTTACCTCAATTATTTGGAGAATAGTTTTACCTCAAATATCTTCTTTTTATAATCATTGGACTTGAATCATTGGATCACAGCACTTAAGTGTAACCAGACTAAACTTTTGTTTAGTTCTCTCCGCTATCATCACTAATTAAGAGGGAACTTTTCATGTCGCGCGCGCTGTACCTCCGCGTGAGAGATCTCTCTCTCTCTATTCTGGATTGCGAATATCAAAAATACATCAGACAAATGGTTTAATACTATCCCATACAATGCGAAGTGTAATTAAGATGAAACAGCAAAGCTAAGCGGGCAGTGATCAACCAAACCCCCTACCCGAATTTTTTTATGACTGATCTGCATGATTCACGTGGGTCATGATTTTAGGCGGAATTCCAGTTTAATCCGTAAGAAGAATCACATTCCTGATATTTACTGACATATCACTTGAGACTTACTGATATAAATATTGTAATTAAAATGTATTTGGAGTACTTGATACACATATTAAAGGTGCAGTCTGTAAGAATGACAACTAGTGGTCGAATAAGGTACTGCAGTCCAAATTCAAAATATCGGAGATCGTTGTTTCTCTCGCCTCCTGCTCCTCAGACTGGACGGCGCTCACACGGGTTGCCAGTTTGAGCACACACAACAGGAACGAGCGCAATGGACAATGAAAATTGGCATATTGGCAACGTGCAATATCACAGACCAAACCAAAAACAAACATTCCAGCCTGGAAACACATTTCAAAGTAAAATAACTGGCTGTAGAAGTGTTTTTCAGAGAAACGAGCATGTGAACTTAGCATGTTTCCTAAATATATGCAAACATATTATGGTATTTGTATGCTTTAGTAGAGTGAAAAAGTGACCTACAGCACCTTTAAGCCTTAAAGTGTGTTTAATATCACTATTAGTAAGGATAGTATGATCTCTGTATAATATCAGTCTTTAAATACAAGATTTTTAAAGTGTACCTAAAGTATTCTTGCAATAGTTCCACTTTAGCACAATCAAATATACTGAAGTATAATCTTTAGTTGAACTTCAGCACTATTTCTGGATAACTAAAGTACTAAATACTAATGCACAAAATCAGTTGTTCCAATTTAGCATACTTTAAGTATATTCATTTAGTATACCAACCGTACAATTGCATGGTATTTATTTATACATAAAAATGTAAATATATTTGCAGTATACTTAGCATAAAATAAATGTATTGCAAATACATTTCAGTATTTTTATTTTTCACTAGGGTAGACATGCAATTTGCAACAAAAGTGGCTGCAAAAGGAGGAAACTTTAGAGATTAAGATTTATCAAATAAAATAAAAAACTTGAGAAATTGGTTATGATTCTCAATGCACAAAAAGGATTCTGATCCAATGTGAGCAGATTTTCAAATTTCACTTTAATCGTGACAGCCATAATAGATTTAGATGAATTGTGCAGGGGTATTTTGTGTCCTGTTCTCTTGAATTTGGGGGTTATTTTTGCCCCAAGGCCCTCTGTGGCATATTCCCTTAATCACTTACATTGCTGACCAGGTAGATGCCTCTGCCCCTGGAGGACGCCACGGGTTTGATGATCCACGCACCCTTGTCCTTGCTGAAGGAGCCTGAGGTTTACATGAGGACAGAGAGAGAGTGTTATTAAAGCCCATCTTTCTTATTGATGTCGATCATGTTAACAGTCAAACACACATCGAGTGCTGACTGGATAGAGATGTGCCCACTCACTGCTGAATTCCTGGTACTCGGTAGGAAGCACAAAGGTCTGGGGTACGATGTGGAAGTTTTGAAAGCCGTGGGTTTGCTGCATCCTCTGGATGTTTTTGTAGAGCCGGTCTTTCCGCGTGAGCTCGAACGACCTGGAAAGCAACGGGAGCATTGACCGTAAGTGCTGAGGATGAGGTTAGCGTCTGAGATAGCGGAGGGAACATAAACCCTTAAAATAACACCACAGCGGCAGCGCATGTTCGGTTTGATCTATTGCGCGGTTTCTTCCAAACAAAATGTACTCGGCTCAAACTGCCAATGAATACATGCCGTCCGCCCGCTTGGAAGGCCGGTGGTGTCGGCGTTGCTGTTGCTGAGTGAGAGTGTGTGTGACTTTGGTAACTAATTATCATTGGGGGAAACACACTGACTGCACACCACAAACTAGTGTTTGTTTAAACACCCACAACTTTCCGATGAAAGAAACGTATCACAAATCACCTGTGAGTCCTAACACGAGGCTGTTCCAGATGGTAGGCAGCACAATTACACTGTCTTAAATAAAACTTTTCGCATATCCTTTAAAGAAAAGGCCACCCCATAATGCACTGCTTACTTAAAAATCCATCAAAGATGGTGGACAAATTGAGCTAAATGCTTACATATCTATATAATCCAATATCAGATCTTAAAGTAACACCAGGGAACTTTTGCTCTCGGGGTCCCCCTACAGTTGGGAAACAGTATTGTCGTCTAGACCTCTACTACTGTCGTAAACTCTGTCATCCTACATGCACGTGCATTTGTTGACAACCAGGATAGCCCTGAACACTGTGGGAGGAGGTCACATGCAGGTGTTCTGCTTGTGTCGCGTGTGAAATGTCTTCAACCCAGGTACAGTGGCATATATTTCAGCATGTCATATGAATATAATTTCATGGGTTTTATTTTTTTTCTAACGACAAATGATCGCGATGATCACGTTTACAAACCAGCGTCATTATAGTAGCCTAGTCTATTGGTTACCGTTTTACTGGATCTATATGATACTTCAATGCAATGTTTGAGTGGTAGATAATAACCATATATCGTCAATATTATAATATCAAGCTACCATAAATGAATCTGCAAATTTTACAAATCGATTTGTATTATAGCTTGAGGCAAGACAAATAAACAAATATCACAGACATGTTAGGTATCCTAAAATATGATTTTTTACATCTTATATATTTACTTGCAAGAATGTAGCCCCTACTAAACTTGTGCATGCCGTTTAGACACAGGCTTTCATTTGATTTTTTTTTTTTTTTTTGCCAAGTCCGCATCGGTCGGGCACCCCTCCTCCTCCTTCAGCTCACGCCAGCGAGAAAATGCTGGCCCAATGTTGATCCTCGTTCTGCCTTTAACGCGATCACTTTCTCTTTTTCTCTTTTTGCTTTGCTCCGATAAAACCTTTGCTTTCTTGTTTTTCTGTGCTGCTCCGGCCATGACTATAACATTTGGCTCGCACGTCCGATTTTAAGGAAGTGGGGGTGGTGGTGGAAGTGACGTATATGCCGTAAAGCAGTCGAATTTTGTAGTTCTCTTTGTTCGCCGGTTACTACCCGAAACCCGAAGTTTAAAAGTACGATTAAAAACGGCTATGGCAGACGTGTCATTCAACATATTGTAAGTCGATGTACCATCACAAGAGACTTGGAAATATATTATGAAGGTTGAAAAGTAACCTAGTGCTGCTTTAAATCCCACGATCAATCTTTTACTGAGCTGTTTTCAGTTGATGTGTCAACAAAACTTCCCTAAACATTACTTTATCATTACTGAAAGCACCTCACATCCAATAATCTTTGAGCTATGTTCCTTTTGATATGACAAAATTACAACTTTTAAATTGTGTCAATTTTATCATGAAATTCAAACAATGAAGGTCATTTTGAAGCTTTGATCAGCAAACATACATATAGAAAAAACATATGTACATACAGTGCCCTCCACAATTATTGGCACCCGTTTAAGATGTGGTCGAGGACTTCTAAAAATTCTCCTTTTTTTAAACAACATAGAACCCAAATGCAAAAAATATAAAAATCCAACCTTTTATTCAAGTATATTACTTTGGTGGTAAAAAAAAAAAATCACATTTAGAAAGAAAAAAAAACTTGAAATCATGTGTCCCACAATTATTGGCACCCCTGATGTTAATAGTTTGTACAACCCCCTTTTGCCAACAAGACAGCACTTAATCTCCTCGTATAACATTTCACAAGATTGGAGAACACAGAGAGAGGGATCTTTGACCATTCTTCTTTGCACAATCTTTCTAGATCATCCAGTGTCCTGGGTCCTCTCTTATGCACTCTCCTCTTTAGCTCGCCCCACAGGTTTTCGATTGGGTTGAGCTCTGGGGACTGAGATGGCCAGGGGAGGGCCTTGAGTTTGTGACTGCTGAACCATTTTTATGTAGATTTTGCCACATGTTTTGGATCATTATCCTGCTGAAAGACCCAATGACGACCCATCTTCAGCTTTCTGGCAGAGCCCATCAGGTTTTTATTTAAAATGTCCTGGTAGTTCAAAGCTTTCATAATGCCACGCACCCTAACAAGGTTCCCAGGGCCTTTGGAAGAGAAACAGGCCCACAGCATCACAGATCCTCCACCATACTTCACGGTGGGCATGAGGTGCTTTTCGGCATACTCATCTTTTGTTTTACGCCAGACCCACTTAGAGTGTTTGTTGCCAAAAAGCTCAATCTTAGTCTCATCTGACCAAAGCACACGATCCCAGTTGAAGTCCCAGTGACGCTTAGCAAACTCCAGACATTTACGTTTGTGAGTGTTAGTGAGAAAAGGCTTTTTCCTTGCATGCCTCCCAAACAGCTTGTTGGCATGTAGAGAGCGTCTGATGGTTGTTTTTGGAGACTTTGTGACCCCAAGATGCCACTCTTTGATGCAATTCTGTGACAGTGAGCTTAGGACTTTTTTTTTACTTCTCTTACCATCCTCCTCACTGTGCGTTGAGGCAAGATAAACTTGGGACCTCTTCCAGCCTTGTTTGTCACTGTTCCAGTTGTTTCAAACTTCTTAATGATTCCTCTGACTGTAGATACGGGCAAGTTAAGGCGAGTGGCTATTTTCTTGTAGCCATTGCCTGACTTATGAAGGTCGACACACACATCTGCCTTACTTAAATGGTGTGTTCTCCAGTCTTTGCCATGTTGACAAATGGGTAAGAAAATTAGGCCTCTGTGTCGCGTCATATTTATACCCAGGGAAACAGGAAGTCATGAATTACTAATTAAAAGTTCCTAGATACCCTGACCAACTTTAGCAACTACAGAAAAATATATTTTAAAAAAAAAACTATTCAATTTTTCAGCGGAATTGTTAGGGGTGCCAATAATTGTGGGACACATGATTTCAAGTTTTTTTTTTTTTTTTATGTGTGATTTTTTTTTTACCACCAGAGTAATATACTTGAATAAAAGGTTGGATTTTTCTCTTTTTTTTGCATTTGGGTTCTATGTTGTTTTTTAAAAAAGGAGAATTTTTAGAAGTCCTCGACCACATCTTAAACAGGGGTGCCAATAATTGTGGAGGCATATACAAATTTGGTCCCCGAAGCTAAAGCATGCTTGCTCGACGTGCAAGAACCAATGAGGTTCATTCTCGTGTTACGCAGCACGTTTGAGCTTCAGCAAGAACCGAACTGTAATGACATTCACACTAGGGCTGTCACTTTTGTGAAAAAATCCTGTTTGATTTTTGAGTCATAAGTGTTCATTGAATCGATAGTAAAATCGATTTTCCATCTAAAGACGTTTCCATTTTCAACACCAAATATAGGCAAATCCACGGACACCTAACAGGCATTAGGACGAGCGTAAAGAGGGCGCTTGAGACGCACAAGTCAGCAATATTCCTGATGATTTATTGGCGTGAAGTTTCAGCACAATGACAAACAGGAGCGCAACATTCAGGGATTGAAATTAACCGCCAAATGCGGGTACAAATGAACTTTGGCGGGAAACGCTGTCAAATCACGAGCCAATCTGGCGTGTTTCTGTGTTTACTCACTTTGCTGGGAAGTTCATGTAAGCCAAATCTGTGCGGATTTAGCGCAAATACGCAACTCGTGATCCTCATGATATATTAAATACAGCGTATCGCAGAATCTGCACATTTCTGGCTTACTTGAACACACACACACACACACGTCACTACGCAACAAATAACGGCGCGCTTGTTCACTTGCACTGAAGTAATAGCGAATATTAAAAAGCATTTGGTGAACAGAAAAGACATTGTTATTGTCCAGCATCCCACATGTTCTGTGTGCTGTATTGATCTGTCCACCTAAAACACATTTTTGGTAAAAAAATTAGGGATGCACCGATATGAACATTTTGGCCGATACCGATAACCGATAATTCTTTACATTTGAAAGCCGATAACCGATATATTGGCCGATAAATCTAAATTAAAATTTTTATAAACTTTGATAGCCTGTATAACAAAAGGCTCACCATTAAAAGCCTCGTCTCAAACACTTTTAACATAAATCAAACCTATACAATACAGTATAGCCTAGTTTGAACCAGTGTAAGATTCCTTATCTTTTAAAATAAATTTTACACTCATATGGACAACTTTCTTTATTAAAAAATGGTACTTTATAATAAGGTTTAACTTTGTTAGCATTAGTTAGCATGACCCAACAATTTTATAAAACATTTTTAAGAAAGTTGTATCTGTTAACATTAGTCAATGCACTGTGAACTAACACAAACACACATATTTTATTAACTAACAATAACAAAGGCTATTGCTCTCTGTTAGTTAATGCAATAACAAATGAGACCTTATTGTAAAGTGTTATCAAAAAATCTATTGCCTAACAAAAAATAAAATACATAAATAATGCAAACAAGTCATTGGATAACATTGGACTGCAAATAAAGAAACAAAATGCATGTCCCATGGATCAATAAAATGGAATCGCCTCTGTAAGGACAATAAGAAAAAAATATTTTAATCAAACCATATCGTTGATGAAAATAATACGAGAACAAAATAATGTTAGTTATTAATTATAACGCAATGTTTTTGAAAAAAATTTAACATTTTCAATGTTACATTGATCATAAACATCTTTAATGGCTTAGTTACTGTTTCAAATGACATTGCTGTGTGAGCTATGAGCGCTGAAGCTGAAGAGAAGGTTGATTGCTAGAAGGTTAATCAACTCAACGGTTGCTGAAGAATGCAAACCCAAAGAATTTCCAAATGTATTACAATAGTGAATACAATTATAATTGTATGACTGTCCCAATCATAGCTTTTAATGTTTTGCATTAATCTGCGCGCGTTGAAGCTGAAGAGAACGAGCACCGGCAAAAACTGAAGAACTTTTCTAGCAGGTTGTTTAAATCCACGAACGAAACGCATCATATGTGAGATTAATCAGACATTTATATTACATCAACTTTATATTACGACTTATCTGCGCAAAATGACGTGAATGCATAAAAGAACTTGCGCTGGTCATAATGTGTAGGCTAATCCCTGTTCTGGACGCGCTATTCTCACAACAACACGCTGAAACGGTGCTAAACAGAAAATTCACAACGTTTTATTACAATAGTGTTCTCATTATAATGGCATGTATATGACAGTCCCAATTATAGTTATAAATGTGCATTGCTGTTTGAGCTGCGCAACGCTAAAATGATCAAGATGTTTACAGCAAAGATGATCAACGGTACAATGAAGTGCATCGTTCATTAACTCAACCAAACGCATCCTATATTAGATTAATCAGATATATACACACAAAATAAACATATTACAACTTACAATGGCGCAGAATGCTGCGAATGCTCAAGAGAACTTGACTGTGCTTGTCATGAAGGCTAAACTCCACAGACGCGCTCTTTCCGCCACAACGCGCTCGTCGCGCTGAAACACTGGCGAACAACAATTCACAACATTCATTTGCGTGTTTTTATTATAATGTTATGAAGCCTATGTGACAGATTTGTGCTGCACATGTTGCACTGAACTGTATCTTCCTTTTCGAAGTGAATCCAATCATTCAGAACCATCATGGTGAACAGCGCGCATCTCTCAACTGAAGTAAATAATCTATCTATCGGCTTTGATATATCGGCCCAATTTTCTTATCAGACCGATAACATCAAAAAAGATCATTTATCAGCCGATATCGATATGTGGTCGATATATCGTGCATCCCTAAAAAAAAAAAAAAAAAGGCCGTTAAAAAATTCCCTATTTTCGTTTTCGACACTTGTGTTGGTTGGTCCGATCGAATGTGCAATCGATTTTCGAACGTAAAGTGACAGCCCTAATACACACCTGGGAAAGTGGTTGACTTTCTGGAAATCCTGTAGAGAGCGCAGAAGGTAGGGCTTCAGGTGCGAGCCAGTCCACATCAGGTTAAAATCATTGCTATTTGGATGCACCTAAACAGAAAACAATATTATTTTAGGCCAGGGTAATGAAAATGATACTTTAAAAGTCCTTTCAATGCTATTTACATTTAAGCTTTATTGTATTGAGCCCTCATCAACACTAACCACTGTATTGGAGCTTAGCCTGAAGAAACTGAATTGCAGGTTGAATCCTTAATACTTGTGTTGCTAAACTGAACTGAACTGAAATAACATCAACCGATGTGCAGTGTACAAGCAGAGTGCACTGTGTTGAATCCCACAGTGCAATGCGTTTGACTTCACCTTCCATTGCCAGTAGCCAAATAAACCAGTGGTCCTATCAGATGTGATTTTTAACCTCTTTCTTGACTAATTATTATTTAATCAGACTGCCAAAGGTTTCTGCAAACTGTATGCAAAAATAAAATCTATATCCAAGATGATAACTGGATGCCACTCATCCACTCCATTTAAATTTGACAGCATATAGTGTATAGTAAGATTTAATTCCCTAACATGGATAATGTTTACAGATTTACCTCATGGAATCCATGATTGACCAGCAGGCCACGCACAAGACGACTCTCCGTACGCACAATCTTGAAGCCCAAGTTATATTTTTCTGTAAAAAAAAAAAAGAAATACTGAATCAAGGATTACAAGAACAATGGCATGTTGCAAATGACAATTTTTATGAAAGCAGTCAATAGGCCTAGATATTTAAATAACATTAGACATGCTGTTTATATAACAATAAAAAATTATTTGTCACTGGAAAAAAGTAAATATTTTAATATGTTGAGTGTGTGACGAACTAGTGTACAGTACAGTACAGTAATTACTAGTAGAGCTGCACGATTAATCGTTAAAAGATTACAATCTCGATTCAAACACGTGATGTTATTCCTAAATGGCAACGATTCGTCTCTGTCTATTAAACCTTTGAGAAGTACGATCACAGCAAACATTCAGATCTGCGTTCTGACCCAGAGGGAGCCGTTGTCATGTACAGATATGAACCTGTTTGTGAAGCTGTCTTTACAATACACACAGTGTGATTATTTCTGTTACACAATCATTCAGATTATCACAGAAGAACTGGGAAAAAAGTTTATAGTTTGGATATAAACACTGATGCCTGCAGAGCGGTCAAAATAGAGTAAATCACCTTTTAAACAAAAGTAATAAATAAAAGATAAAGATTGTAACAAATACACCATTACACAAAGTAGGTGGCGACAAGCGACTGCTAAGAAAAAATGATTTGTGTGCGTCTCAATCTCATAGTCAGGGCACTGATCAGAGAGGCGGCCATTTTAAGACCATTATCAATCGCAAAATCCGTCCAGTGCACTGAAACATGCGCTCCCTAAAAAATCCCACAATGCACTGTGAAATCCAGGCAGCATCGATGCTCACTATTTCCCACAGCGGAAGCTCTGAAGGGTTTAGATTTAGAAAAGCAGCATAAACATGCATTGTCAGACAGGTACTAAACATAATCCTGCTCAAATTAATTATTAATTCACAGCTGAAATGTTGCAGGTATACGCAAGTATTTATCAATATGTACTTCAAATAACTTAAAAAAAAAAAAAGTCAGAAAAATATCAGTTCTGCTGTTACTGATAATGATCCATTGTCATTGAATCATTCATTCCTGAGATTCGTTCAAAAAACACTTGATTCATCAAGTAATGAAATAAGCCTTTATAAGTGAATCACTGAATCATTCATTCAAACCGATTTTTTTTAAAATAATTCCTTAAAATGAATAAAATATTTTTTTAATACACTGCAGATATTAATATTATGTCAGAACCCCCAGTGACATATTATTTTGTTTAGTTGTCTATTCATAATCGTGGGAGAATCGTGATCTATTTTGAACAAAAAACTATCGTGATTCCCAATTAATCCATATACACACACACACAAACACATATACACACACACACACACACACACACACACACACACACACATATATACACACACACAACAATCGTTCAGCTCTTCTATACAGGCATCATATATTACTAGTGCAGTGCCCGTGCAAAATCTGTTTTTGTGTGTGTTTTTAGTAATTGTTGGTTTGGTGTGTTTGAGTGCTCAGTTACAATTACACAGCAAGAGTTCAGTGACATTTTTATTTGTAGCTGACTTGATGTTTAAAAGCTGACAGAGTGTTTCTGTCAAAATGTGTATTTTTAAACCACAACCTTCTAAACATCTTCAATGTGTGCTTCTTTTACCGATATATTTACCGATATCTTTTGCATTTCTAATCCAAACAACATCAAACTTGGCACTGCACTTACTCGTGCCCGTAGCAAGACACCTGCCAAGTTTGAAATCCATCAGACTAATGGTTCTAAAGATATATGAATAACAGACACCCACATACACACACAGACACACAAACAGAGAGACGGTCCTGTAATTTATAGATAGATAATTTCATGTTGCAGAATTGCAGTTTAATAAATGCTCTTGTGTTAAACACAGTAATTCTCAGCGTCTGTACCTCCAACAGATTGGATGGCCACATCTTTGGACACAACGGCTTCTGCACAGAAGAGGATCACGGGAATCCTTTTACTGACACCGCTCCAGGCGACACACGGGAGCTTCCTATGAAAACACAGGTTAAAGCAAAGAGAACACTGCTATTTCACATGTATATGATATTGAGGAATTACCAAAGTCCCTTTCAAAGGAAGTCGGTTCACACACCGGCCATATTGGCAGGATCAACTCACATCTCGTACTCGAATGGGTAAAATAAATACCAAACTCACATTTAAATAAGATATTACAAATCAGCAATAAAATCTAACATGAACTGTCCCATTAATGTTGTTTCTTATCTATTTCAGGTTGGTTCAGCCATTGGATGTAAACAGTAATGGATCCGCGCACTAGCTCTTAAAGTGACAGCAGCCTAAATGTGTCTGTCATTCATTTTGTCGTCAAAACATGAAAGGATAGCTTTAATTGTAAGGAATCAGGATTAATAGCCCAAGTATTTAATTTAGTCACGACTAAAACGCTATCTGGTGTTATTTTACATTTGATTACTTTATTCAGTTTCGGTAGTATTTCTGAATACTAGTGTTAGACCTACCCAAAACCATTTATTTCTCTCTATTTTTATCTTTATTATTCTACTGTATTTATTTGTGCTACTTATTTCAATTTAATTCAAAGATTCAAATCAAGCTTCCTTGTGTTATGTTAACTCTTGACAACAAAATTACCCCTTTGTAAAAACACAATGACTGATCGAACATTTAGGTGAGATAAATGTAATAAAAAAAAATCAACGAAATTCAGGCCCTGCACATGATAACTAATGTAAATTCTGGGTCCTAAATCTAACTGACCTTCGTCCTTTTTGTCACTCTTAAAAGCATGACAAGGAGACTGAATTAAGCTCTGCTGCCGATAACAGACGTGTGTGGAACATCTAGACTATTTGAGGACCGGATGTTACTATTTCAGAACTGACTGGTCTATATTTAGACAAGATAAGCTGTGAATTCATGAAATCTATACGAAACACCGGATGTTTGCTGTTGTTTTGTGTGTAGTGACTAGTTTTGCTCACTGAATATAATCATCTCAAGATGAATAAAGCATTTTGCTTTAGTAAAGACACTTACTCTAGCTCATCTTCAGACGATGACTCCGATTCCTCCTTCTGTTCTCTAGCGGCTGGCATCTCGGTCTGTGTGTGTGTGTGTGTGTGTGTGTGTGTGTGTGTGTGTGTGTGTGTGTGTGTGTGTGTGTGTGTGTGTGTGTGTGTGTGTGTGTGTCAGCTCAATGTGTGTGTGACAGCACTCATCTCCAATCTTCTTAACTCATCTGCAAAACAATAAGCTTTTATGAGAAGGGCTGCTGTGCAATTTATTTTATTTGTTCAGTTTTACTCTGCTTTTATTAATATTAAACAATATACAGTATTGCACTGTGTAGGATGAGGAATCATGCAAAGTAAGAAAACGATGTAAAACAACAATAATGCGAAATTTAGCCAAGTAACGTGCAAAATAAAACAAAAAAAACCAAATTAAATTAATTAAAATGACAGCAAACTACGAAGGTACTAGATAGCAATCAAAGATAAAGGTTAAACCAAAGTAAAACTTTCATAGTTCAAATAGAGTTATTATCTGAGACAATTATTTAGCACTTGTCTACTATGATAAACTGAAAGCACCTTCCAGATTTTTCATAAATCGCTGTTTGAAATGAATATACTATGGGAAAGATGGGATTAGTTGTGTGTGACAGAAGAGAGTTCACTAGCTGTTAGCTAACCGAGCTAACTTGACTGTGATTTAACAGAGAATAAAGCGTTTGAATGGCTAACACAAAATATTAGGACTTCGGAATGCAGTGTAATTAGTTTGATAATAAATGTAATTAGTAACATACCTGTTTGCGTTAAGTGGGTGTTCTTGGGTGTAATTATTAACTGTTAGCTCCATAGCCCACGCCAAAGCCTGACGCCTGTTACTATAACAACCAGCTGACAACCACTGTTAAGCGCATGCGCGTAAACCGAAGGGTGGCATTTTTGTAATTTTGATGTTTATATATAAAACTTGTAATTATGCATTGAACCGAGTAATAATGTAAAATTAATTCGAAATTTTAATTATTTATTTAACATAATTATTTCACACATATAAAATAAAAAATGAAAAACTATCGAAAACCGTTTCCGATCTATGAAAGATATAGTGAATAAACACTTTTTTGCTAATGAATGATATACATGACCAAACAGCTCAAAAGTCAACTTTTGTTTTCATAAAATAGACCAAACGTCTCAAATTCAAACTCAACACACCTCCTTTAGAAATCGTCAGATGTATAGCGGCCGGTGATTGGTTTGATCTCCCAGGAGTGGGCGGTCTTTTGAAGCACTGCCCAATGGGGTGGTGGTACGACGCGACGCAACCGTCATCCGCGGTTTCTGATTGGTCAATGTTCATGTCCATGACAGCTGAGTGTTGTGAATCTGTCGCGGTACGATGATAAGCAGGAGGAATCAAACGCACACAGTACAGTTAATGTTATAGTTATACAGTTCAAATACTGACCGCAGAAGGTAAGAACATTTTTACTAATGAATCGTGTCGTTTCTTAATAATATGTATAATGTCTATTGATGATCCAGTCTTGTTTATGGTTGCCTACACAAACCTAGCGAACAAAATATGTTCTAAGAACGTATAATGTTCTCTGAACGTTCTGAAACTTGGAACATTTAAAAATATATATTAGTATTAGACGAACTAGAACGTTTCAGAAAAAAAATAATTCCATGACCGATGTGTTGATAATATTTAATAAATAATAAATTAATTAAGATTAATTAAAAGAAATTAAATTATACATTTAAAACACTTTTAAATTAGATTAAAATAAATGAATAAAAATGTGGTTTAATAAGAAAATCAGTTATTAACCTACTAAATAGATTAAATTAGATAAAATAAATAAATAAAATTAAGTCAACAAAAAATAAATATTACATTAATATATTGTAAAGAAACATATAATAAAGTTACTTAATAGCAACTAGCCTAATTTTATAATATAACTTTTTCAGTGTATAAATGTGGTGTTTAGAAAAGACTTTAGAATGGGTTCCCTCACGAGGATGCTCATATTTGTGGCATCTATAAGATTGAAAACCCCTGGCATAGAGCATCATGAAAATACATTGTTAAATGAATTTAATAGTAATTCACTACTATGGTATGAAAGTACCACTGTATCACCATGCTCTGCTGTCACGAGGCCCTCCAGTGTGCTGTGTGTCGTCTCCAGTGTGCTGTGTGTCGTCTCCAGTGTGCTGTGTGTCGTCTCCAGTGTGCTGTGTGTCGTCTCCAGTGTGCTGTGTGTCGTCTCCAGTGTGCTGTGTGTCGTCTCCAGTGTGCTGTGTGTCGTCTCCAGTGTGCTGTGTGTCGTCTCCAGTGTGCTGTGTGTCGTCTCCTGCAGGTGTGCAGTGAAGGATGAGCCGTTTGCTGAATGTGTTGAGGAGTTGGCTGCTCATGGTGTCTGTGATCGCGGTGGGGAACACAGTGCAGAGCTTCAGAGATCACAGCTTCCTGTCCCAAAAACTCTACACCGGCACACCAGATTATGGTCGGCATACACCGGATAATCAGCACCTTTATTCATTAACTAATTTTAGCACTTTACAGATCAGCATTACAGTTACATTTTCAGTTAAAGGGATAGTTCACCCAAAAATTAAAATTAGCCTGTGATTTACTGACCCTCAAGTCATCCTAGGTGTATAAGACATTCTTCTTTCAGGCGAACACAATCTGATATATGCTGGTTCTTCCAAGCTTTATAATGGGAGTGAATGGTACCTTTTTCTTCGCATCTATCCGTGATAAACGTAATCCATACGACAGGGGGTTAATAAAGGCCTTCTGAAGAGAAGCGATGTCCATATTTCCATATTTATAACTAGAAATACTGGCTTTGCTAACGGCCATAAGCGAATCTATTTCTGGTGGAGTGACCTCTGACCCGCATGACCTCTGACCCGACGCATGACTATAGCTGTGTCCCAATGTGTAGGCTGCGTCCTCCGAAGGCCGCATTTGAAGGCCGATTGCGTCACAGCGGCGCGATGAAGGCTGTCCCAATTCAAAGGCTGCATCTTCGAAGGCATGAAAATGATTTGCCGATCATGAAAGCGCGACTGATTGTTTTATTTTATTTTACAAAAGCACAACGTTTTCTTGTTATGTGAGTTTGGACAAATAAAAGTAGTTGCGAATGATGTATTATTCTTTTCTGTATGACCCGAAATTATAGAGTATTTTTTAAGTTGTTTCCACTGTTGATGGGAAAATGCAAGTGTTCGCGGCCGCGCCTCCGTGCCGTGCAGTGCGCGCTCACACTCCCACACACATTTGCGTCAAAATCTTGTGTTTATTTGTGATAATCTTAGCCCTGTATTATGAATGACATTTGACAAATTTCTTTGTTCCTTTTTTGGATAAAACCGCCTTCTAAATATGTAGCCTAAATGTAGGCTAATAATAATTATATTATTATCATTTGCGTTGAGTTCACTGAAGACAGTAATATGTTAATCATAAAATAATTTATGAATGTTTTATTTTTATATAACCTAACCTTGTGTTTGTGTTATATTTCTTTTTTATATGTGAAGTCTTTTTTTGCTTATTCTATTATACTGAGCTTTTTCCTCCTAAAAAATTGACTTTAAAGACAAGTGGCCTAAATGTCGTTTAGAAAATTCATGTATTTAACATCCTCAGTAAAATATAAAACATAAAAATGACAATAGCCAATTCTGGCTCCATAGCTGTTTACTCAATTATAACAAATTAATGATCAGGATGGCAGCTCCATCTCGCACTGTTGCTTGGCGCCATGGAGCGGTAATCGGGAACACCTGGATGCGCAATTAGGAAATCCTATGAAGGCTACAAGCTGCGTCCTTCGGAGGATGCAGCCTTCACATTGGGACACAGCTTATGTAGAAGCTTAAGTAACAAACTCAAGCGGGTCAAAGGTCATGTGTCGGGTCAGAGGTCAGGTCACTCTTCCACCAGAACTAGACTCGCGTATGTTACCAAAAGCCAGTGATTGATTATAGTTTATAAAGTTATAATTATGAACATTTGTCTTCACTTCAGAAGGCATTAACCCACTAGAGCCGTATGGATTACTGTTATGATGGATTGATGCACTTTTATGGGCTTCAAAATCTCCTCCTCCATTCACTGCCATTATAAAGCTGGGAAGAGCCAGGACATTTTTAATATAACTCTTATTGTATTCGTCTGAAAGAAGAATGTCATACACACCTAGGATGGCTTGAGGATGAGTAAATCATGGGCTAATTTTTTGGTGAACTATCCCTTTCTACTGTCCTTTACATGAATACAGAAAGTATTTGGATGCAAATGCATGTTGTGTGTGTGTGTGTGTAAATAACGTGTGCTATAAATGTGAGGATTTGTCTTATTCTTCAGTAAACGGTCTTCAGGCGAGAACCTTTGGCATATGGACCCTCCTGTCCTCCATCATCCGCTGCGCTTGTGCCATAGACATTCAGAACCGAACGTAAGGATCCTCGTGTGTGTGTGTGTGTGTGTGTGTGTGTGTGTGTGTGTGTGTGTGTGTGTGTGTGTGTGTGTGTGTGTGTGTGTGTGTGTGTGTGTGTGTGTGTGTGTGTGTGTGTGTGTGTGTGTGTGTGTGTGTGTGTGTGTGTGTGTGTGTGCCATAGACATTCAGAACCGAACGTAAGGATCCTTGTGTGTGTGTGTGCGCCATAGACATTCAGAACCGAACGTAAGGATCCTCGTGTGTGTGTGTGTGTGTGTGTGTGTGTCATAGACATTCAGAACCGAACGTAAGGATCCTCGTGTGTGTGTGTGTGTGTGTGTGTGTGTGTGTGTGTGTGTGTGTGTGTGTGTGTGTGTGTGTGTGTGTGTGTGCCATAGACATTCAGAACCGAACGTAAGGATCCTTGTGTGTGTGTGTGCGCCATAGACATTCAGAACCGAACGTAAGGATCCTCGTGTGTGTGTGTGTGTGTGTGTGTGTGTGTGTCATAGACATTCAGAACCGAACGTAAGGATCCTCGTGTGTGTGTGTGTGTGTGTGTGTGCCATAGACATTCAGAACCGAACGTAAGGATCCTTGTGTGTGTGTGTGTGTGTGTGTGTGTGCGCCATAGACATTCAGAACCGAACGTAAGGATCCTCGTGTGTGTGTGTGTGTGTCATAGACATTCAGAACCGAACGTAAGGATCCTCGTGTGTGTGTGTGTGTGTGTGTGCCATAGACATTCAGAACCGAACGTAAGGATCCTCGTGTGTGTGTGTGTGTGTGTGTGTGTGTGCCATAGACATTCAGAACCGAACGTAAGGATCCTCGTGTGTGTGTGTGTGTGTGTGTGTGTGTGCCATAGACATTCAGAACCGAACGTAAGGATCCTTGTGTGTGTGTGTGTGTGTGCGCCATAGACATTCAGAACCGAACGTAAGGATCCTCGTGTGTGTGTGTGTGTGTGTGTGTGTGTGTGTGCCATAGACATTCAGAACCGAACGTAAGGATCCTCGTGTGTGTGTGTGTGTGTGTGTGTGTGTGTGCCATAGACATTCAGAACCGAACGTAAGGATCCTCGTGTGTGTGTGTGTGTGTGCCATAGACATTCAGAACCGAACGTAAGGAACCTTGTGTGTGTGTGTGTGTGTGTGTGTCATAGACATTCAGAACCGAACGTAAGGATCCTTGTGTGTGTGTGTGTGTGTCATAGACATTCAGAACCGAACGTAAGGATCCTCGTGTGTGTGTGTGTGTGTGTGTGCCATAGACATTCAGAACCGAACGTAAGGATCCTTGTGTGTGTGTGTGTGTGTGTGTGTGTGTGTGTGTGTCATAGACATTCAGAACCGAACGTAAGGATCCTCGTGTGTGTGTGTGTGTGTGTGCCATAGACATTCAGAACCGAACGTAAGGATCCTCACGTGTGTGTGTGTGTGTGTGTGCCATAGACATTCAGAACCGAACGTAAGGATCCTCACGTGTGTGTGTGTGTGTGTGTGTGTGTGTGTGTGTGTGCCATAGACATTCAGAACCGAACGTAAGGATCCTCACGTGTGTGTGTGTGTGTGTGTGTGTGTGTGTGAGAGTCTGTGTGAGAGTCTGTGAGAGTCTGTGAGAGTCTGTGAGAGTCTGTGTGAGAGTGTGTGAGAGTCTGTGTGAGAGTCTGTGTGAGAGTCTGTGTGAGAGTCTGTGTGAGAGTCTGTGTGTGCATGTGTGTGTGCGAGTGTGTACTCTGCTGGAATCAAGCTGACGCTCCCTTCTTTCCCTCACCCAGGCTGTATCACGTCACGCTGTGGACATTCGTTCTGGCTCTTGGCCACTTCTTGTCGGAAGCGTTTATCTATAAAACCGCTCCGTTGACCATTGGAGTCATGGCTCCGCTGATTGTAGCGAGTGAGTGAGTTTCTAACATCTAGTTCAGTCTTGAATCAGGATACTTATATTCTCTATGTGCATATATAGTAAAGTGTAATTTATTCCTGTGATCAAATTTGAATTTCCAGCATCATTACTCCAGTCTTCAGTGTCACATGATCCTTCAGAAATCACTCTAATATGAGGATCTGATGCTCAAGAAACATTTACAGTACATGGAAGCTTCAAACTTGTTTCTGCCACAGAATAAAAAATCAAAAAGGTAATTGCGACTATACATCTTGCAATTTTGACTCTTTTTTTTTACAATTACGAGTTTACATCTCGCAATTCTGACTTTTTATCTCAGAATTGTGTGATATAAAGTCGCAATTGCGAGAGATAAAGTCAGAATTGTGAGATAAAAAGACGCAATTATCCTTAAAATGTTTTATTCTGTGGTGGAAACAATCTTCCATACATTTATGATTATTATTATCAATGTTGAAAACAGTTTACTATTTTTTTAAATACTTTTTTTGTGTGCGTGGAAACTGTGATACACTACCTTTCAAAAGTTTGGGGTAAGTTAGATAATAATAATAATAAAAATGAATGCTGTTATTCAGCAAAGATGTATTAAATTGATCAAACGTGACAAAGACATTTACATTCATGGCCAAAAATATTGGCACACCTGCATTTTTTGTCAGATACTGCACACAGAAAATTGTTGCAATTACAAATGCTTTGGTATTCTCATGTTAATTTCTTTTGTTTGCACTCAATCTGAGACGTTCCAATCCACAAAGGACTCCAGAAATGGAAAATCCAGTGAAAAAGTGCCACAGGTTTGAAAACATTTCAGGATTCGTGCAACCTTTTGAGAGTGACATTTTCAAGTGCTTCACACTTTATAAAGAACTTCAAGCTCTAAATATCATCCAGTTTTAAAGTTATTTTTTATGTGATGACCAAAAACTAAATTTGTCCCCATTTGTGAAACTAAAAGTTTTAAGAACTAACTTTTATTTAATAAAAATAATAAATATGAAATCACCGCTATAACCAGTAGATGGTGGCAGAGGAGCACTTTTTGACTTATTAGCCACTTCCACTCCATCATTGTTTTTTTTTTCACAGCTTTTGCTTATAAATTTATATTTAGATATTATGAAATTCCTATTATAAAAAAATCAAATCATCAAGAAATCAATTTTTGTTAAAGTTTGACACTTTCTGTACTGAAGTATGAAGTGAGAGTCTCATGAAAATCCCAAACTTCTTCAAATTGCGCAGAATTACACCGAGAGAAGGTAAAGAGCGCTGAATCTCTGAAGCTGTCGGTCAGGTCAGTCAGTCTGAGATTCGTCATTCTCCACATATCTCTTCTCCATGCGAATAGGCAAGGAGGGCAAAGTTGTGAGATACCTCTCTTCATGTTATCAGAGAACCGGGGTTACGTCAGTAACCTATATCGTTCTCTTTCTAACATTCGTTCGGTATCTCACTATGGGATATAGACAACTCCCGTATTGCAGATATGCTGACGAAGCAGACTGAAGAAGAGGGGATATAAATTATACTGAATCATTGTCCCAGACGGTGAGAAAAACAGGATAATATGGGGACAGGTGCCCCCTTTATTGAAACCATCTCATACCCCCTGACTACTAACTCCCAGAACTGAGTGGGCCAGAGAGGGTTCCATAACATCCAGTCTATAAAAACGGATAAATGTGTGCGGAGAGGACCAGCTGGCCGCCGCGCAAATTTCTTGAATAGAAATCCCCTTAAATAGAGCCCAGGATGTAGACATCCCCCTAGTAGAATGCGCTCGTAGTCCTACTGGTGGCTCTATATTCATGCTCTTGTAGCATAACACAATAGCCTCCACCACCCAGTGGGAAAGGCGTTGACGGGAGATAGGTTTTCCCTTGTAAGAGTCAGCCCACGAGACAAACAGCTGGTTGCTCTTACGCACTGAGTGGGTTCTCTGTACATAACTGCACACCGTGTGAACCGGACATAAACAGTGTAACCTCTCCTCTTCTGGAGAAGAAAAAGGAGGAGGATGAAAAGCTGGCAAGTCCACTGATCTTACGGTATCCGCGTGATCATATACTTTGGGCACGACGCAGGGTTAGTTCTGAAATTAGCTCTTTGACCACCCGAAGCGAACTTCATACATGAAGGGTGAACTGATAACGCCTGTAGTTCACTCACCCACTTTGCTGTTGTAAGAGCGAGTAACAGAGCCGTTTTTAAAGCAAGCAGCTTTAAGGCAATGCTATCAATGGGCTCGAACGGGGCTTTTGAGAGCACGCTCAGGACCACAGACAAATCCCATGGCGTGACCAGCGTCTTTGATACTGGGTGTAGCCTACGTGCACCTCTCATAAATCGACAGACTAGAGGGTGTTGGCCAATAGTACCCGAATCAATACCCACATGACATGCCGATATAGCGGATAGATAAACCTTAACCGTGGAAAAAGCTCTGCCTTTATCCAGGAGGTCTTGAAGAAAACACAGCATATCCGAAACGGAGCACAAGAACGGAACAATGTTCTTATCTGCGCACCATTCCTCAAAGACTCTCCATTTTAGGTTATATAAAGAACGAGTCGAGGCTGCCCTCGCGTTCTGAATCGTCTCAATGAGTTTTGAAGGTAGTCCGGCTGTGCTCAGATTCAACCTCTCACGGGCCAGGCCCAGAGAGCTAACTTCTGAGGGGAGGGATGGAATATTTCCCCTCGTGCTTGTGAGAGGAGATCCCTGCGCGCTGGTAACTGCCAAGGCTGGTCGTAGAGCAGTTGCGCAATCTCCGCAACCCACAGTCTCCCCGGTCAGTACGGCGCGATCAGAATCATCACATGTCCGCGCTCCCGAACCCTCCGTAGTGTCGACTCAATCAAGCTCAACAGAGGGAACGCGTACAGTAACACGTCTGGCCACTCGTGGGCTAGAGCATCCACACCCAATGGTGCATCTTCGCCAGAGAGAAGAACAGGGGACATTGTGCGTCTTCGCGCGATGCGTAGAGATCTACGGCAGCCTGGCCGAATCTCTGCCACACTTTATGTAGGCTATCACCGTTGTATTGTCTGTCCTGACCAATACGTGATGATCCTTTGGAAAATGCACGAAATGTCTCAGAGCTAGAAACACTGTCAGTAGCTCTAGAAAATTTACGTGCTTCTCTCTCAGTGCAGGAGACCAAACTCCTCTCACTGTCCTGCCCTCGAGCACTGCGCCCCAGCCTGTGAGAGATGCATCTGTCGTCATCACTTTTCTCAGTACGATAGGACCCAGAGGGCATCCTGTCCTGAGAAAAGGCGGGACTCTCCAATGACAGAGAGCGCTCGTGCATTCTGGTGAGACGCGGCCCCAGGGGAACCACGGACACAGTTGAGGCCATCAGTCCTAGTAGCCGAAAGACACATTCTGAAAGAGACTGATCTCCCTCGTTGAAAAAGGGAAAGGCAGCTGTGAAAAGTCTTGATGCGATCCTCTGATAGGAAAGCTTGAAACGACACAGAATTCAACCTGAGACCCAAGTAGACTATTTCCCGAGACGGAGATAGACAACTCTTCATTTGGTTTATCTTGAAACCTAATCTCTCCAGATGCGTCACTAGTGTGTGTGTATCACTCTCTGCCTGCCGTCGGCACGGCGCGTAGATGAGCAGATCGTCCAGATATGATGAAATTCTGATCCCTGATCTCCTCAACAGAGTCAGAGCTCCTTCCACACACTTGCTGAATACCCGAGGGGCTAAAGCGAGGGCAAATGATATTCTCATATACTCGTATGCCGTGCCCTGATAGGCGAACCTCAGATATTTCCTGTGTGCAGGAAAAATATCTATGTGAAAATATGCATCCTGCAGATCCACCAAGGTGAACCAGTCTACTTGCCAAATATTTTGACACAACGTTCTGATAGACAGCATTTTGAATTTGAATTTTCTGAGGTGTCTGTTGAGGACCCGTAAATCCAGAATGGGACGGAGACCTCCCCCTCTCTTGGGAATCACAAAATAACGGGAATAGAAGCCCTTGTGGCTCTCTTCCATTGGAATCACTCTTATCACTCCCTTTTTCATTAAAAAGGCTATTTCTTCCTCTAAAACCAGAGCTGCTTCCCCTTTGGCCACTGAAATTACCACTCTGTTGAACAGAGGAGGTTTTACAGCGAATTGAAGCCTGTATCCCCTCTCTACAGTGGTTAATACCCAGGGATGAAAGACTGCGGCCGTGAAAGACTGTTTAGGTCTAACGAAACCGGGTTTTGGTTGTGGGGCCGTGTTGCCCGGCTGTTGTGGTGGAGCAGAGCGGGAAGGCTGATAATCTGAATGCCCTCCTCTGCCTGACGGTCTGAAATTCGGCCGGTTAGGGTGAAAAGGGACAGACCTGGAAAGCTTCTCCCTCCCTCTTCCGCAGGTCACACTGCTGCCGCATCGCCGTTACCGTTATCGCGCCGAACATGGCTTTTGGATCTAAAGGGGCATCCAGAAACTCTGCCTTCTCTTTTTCAGAGAGCCCTGACAAACCCAGCCACAGCGATCTCTCACCCACAACTGCTAAGCCCATACTCCGTCCGCAACTTTGAACTGCTCCGCGGGACGTGCGCAGGTTCAAATCTGCGATGACGCATATCTCCTCCCAGAGCACTGGGTTGGGAGATCCGGAGTCCATCTGACGACCCATCTCCTCTAATAGCTCCGCTTGATAGGCTGTAAGGAGGGACGTCGCGTTCAAAGCACGGACGGAGAGTGCAGTTGACTTGTAGATCTTCTGAAAAACAGAGGCGGCGAAGCGCTCTGTTTTCCCTGGCAGCGACGCTCCGGTTGAAGGCCCGGGTGCAAGTGATTTGCAACTGAAGTTTCCACCGGGGGAGGATCCGCCATCCCTAGATCCTCCATTCCCTGAACATCAAGCCTCGAGAAACCCTTGACGGGCACTCGATGTGAAAAAGGCTTGTCCCAAAACTTCTTCATCTCCGTCACACAGGCCGGGAAGGCCGGAATGAACTGCCTTGCTGGCGGGAGACGTGACGAAGTCTCTTTCCATCGTACAGGTCTCTTTCAGCCACTTGACCTGTCTGTTGGGATGGCCAGTCGATCGATAATCTAGCCGCGGCCCTGCGACAGACCTCGATTAGATCTGAATCCGTCTGTACAGGGGAGGGTGAACTCTCATCCTGTGCACTCGGCAGCCTGGACTGGTTCGGGGGAAGAATGGCATCTTCGTCGTCCTTGTCCTCGAGGATGTTCGACAACACTTCATCATCGTCATCTTCCTCACCCGCTAACGGATCATCAAACAGCGGGGAAAGGACGGGTGAAACCTTCTCCATCATCTCTGCCCATGAGGTGGTGGTCCGGGGACAATCCATGGGTTCCTCACTGGGTTGAGCAGAGAGGCATGGGTCCGATTTTCCACCGACTGCCACGCGGAGCCTTCTTTCTCGGGTCTTAGTCGAGAACGTAGCGCAGTGCTGGCATCCCTTGGGGTTGGACAGCGCTGCCTGCGCGTGTTTAGTGCCCAGACAGGAGATGCAGAGGCCGTGTGCATCCTTAGCAGAAATCCACATTCCACAAGCACACGGATGTGGAGGACGACCTTTTCCTCCGGGGCTCTCCGGTTCTATTGCGGTGGCCATGATGGGGCTAGCACTCTCTTCGTACGGTGAGTTCTCACCCAACGTGACAACTGGTACGGAGCTGTGCTGCGATTAGAGAGCTGTCGTTTTCCTTGTCCTTTTGGTGCGTGGTAAGCGCCCAGAAAAACTTGGAAAAAGATTAGAGAACTTAAGAGCAAGAAAACTCGTCTTGACATGTTAGTTATCGTACTCTTAAGTGACGAAGTCACTCAACGACCTAAGGAAAATATTGCGTTTGGGACGTTACCTGTCGGCTCCGTCTGAAAACTGTTAAGCAAATAGTTCCCAAAGTCTGCTGAGGACAGCTTCCGAAATCTTCCACGGGGAAGAGAGCGAGAGGGACGAAACGGCAGGTAGCTGCGTTTATATACAGTGTGCCGGGACTCACTGATCGCTGCAGCAATTGGTCTGCCATAGTTGGCAGACGTGGTGTAATTGGTGCTTCCGCAATCGGACACGCCCAGAGGCGTTCCCATAGTGAGATACCGAACGAATGTTAGAAGGAGAACGCCGGTTATGTGCCGTGTAAACTGGGAGAAACAGGGCTTTAGGTTCTCAAACGTCACATTATGCGCCAGAAAATGCTTAACGTCATGTGAGCGCCCAGTTTGGCAGAGTTATGATGGCGGATTTATGGTATTTATGCGGGTTGATGTAAATGACAACTTTTTTGAAAACGATGTTGTGTGCACGTATTATTGAAAACGGAGGGGGGGAAATATTCTTTTCTCTAAATACCCGGCTATGTGTAAAAATGGTGTGTGACGGTGGTGTTGTGTTTCTAGGTGTCTCTATTGTGGGCATGTTGATCGGCTTCCAGTGTATCGTTGAGCCTCAGGAAGTGATGGGATCTCGTCAGAAGAAGAGGAACTGAGTGATGTTCCCAGCATCATCACTGCCGATACCTCTGGCACTGACACGGGACGGCTGTAACGGGACATGTGGTCCGACGGGACGGGTCAGTGGTTCAGACTGTGCCGGTCCTGCTATCAACTGGTTGCCAGTCACATATAAGGCCCAAACTACCTTTTACAGCATTGCATCAGTGTAATCATTTTATATGGTTGTTTAAAGTTTAATTATCCGAAAGCAATTACAGTACCGGTACATTTGAGTCATTTTTAAAAAGCTAATATATGAGAAAAATAGTGCCGTTATGAAAATGGTGAAAATGGGGTGATGTAGTGAAGAAAACTTTTAAACAGGTGAAACTTGAAAAATGTGAATATCGTGCAAAAGTTTGTGTATTTCAGTAATTCAAATGAAAAGGTGAAACTAATATATTTAGTATATATAACTATATACATATGCATGATTATAGTTTTCAGAGGGCTGACATTTCTGTATTTAAAATCCGTTTTTCATGTAATATTGAAATTTTGAATTGGGGGTTTTCATAAGCCATAATCATCAAAATTATAACTTTTGCACGCTATCTAATTTTTCGAGTTTCTTTTATTTGTACTGCTTCTTTGTCTAGATCTCAGCCACTGAAAGACAAGTTAAGCATTCAGGTAAAGCCTTTCCATGAAAAGGGTTTTAGCCTCAGATGTGTATTACTGGTCACGTCGCTGTTGGTGTTTTCCCCAGTAAGGTTTACATGACTCATTTGCATGTTCAATTGTAAATCACTAACATGCACACAATACAAGACATGCTCACATCTGCATTTTAGCCATGTCGCAGTGCATCTAAACTAGTTATCACTCTTTATTATTGACTGTGAGATTACATTTACAACAATTTGATCTGTATTATATTCAAAACGTTTGTATACAAGTACTGTAAAATACACATGAACTAAATATACATCTGCATACATTCATATCAACCACATACACACACAGATCAGGGCAGTAACTACACGTCTACTACACACTGACATCAGTTCTGCGGGACCGTCATCTGTTCAAAATCACAGAGAACCACAGTGTAAAAATTCATTTTTTTCAGGTCCACTTTTCTTTTTAGCTTCAGTGTTGCTGTTCTTTCTGACCTTTGCTTGTTTGGTGGATATTTGAAGCCATGTGAAACGAATAAATGTAAATGACCTTGAGTAACCATCATGTTTGTGATGTCATTGTGTACAAAGCATCTTGTTAACAGGAGTCGGCACACACTGCAAAAATGCTTTTCTTACTTAGTATTTTTGTCTGGTTTCCAGTCCAAATATAAACAAAAATCTTAAATCAAGATGCATTTACTAGATGAGTAAAATGCCATATGATATTATACAAAATTAAGTGATTTGTTGCAAAAAAAAAAGCAAAATGATCTGCCAATGGGGTAAGAAAAATAATGTTAATCAAACAGAAGCAAGATTATTTTTCGTACCCCATTGGCAGATAATTTAGCTTGTTTTTAAAGCAAAAACTTACTTAATTTGGATTTATATTCCCAGAAAACAAGACTTAATATCTTATGGCATTTTACTACTTTAGTAAAGACATCTTTATTTAAGAATTTGTATGTATTTGCACTGGAAACAAGACAAAAATATCTGTCACACACACAGACAATAGACTGAGCTTTGATTTATAATGTATGAAAACATTTTTATTCCACCATAATATAAAATAATAAAAAAGGTAATTGCAACTTATCTAAAAACTCAGAATCGAGAGGGAAAGAAAGTCTGAATTGTGAGATATAAACTCGCTATTGGAAGAAAAACGTTGCAAGTATCATGTGTACTGAATGTACATTTATAAGACTATACATTGTGTTATATTACCCTGGCATTAAATGCTATTAATATATGTTTCTATTGGATCAAAAAGCGTCCATCAGTCAAGCCTGCTACAACATACATTAACCTTTGCGTATGCTCTAATACTTCCGTTAGTCTGAGATAAGTGTACTGTACTAATCTGTTAGTAGTGCATTATGTACGACATGAGCTTCACACGTCCTCCATTGATCACATGACTGATGTTCTGGCACATTCAAGTAGGCTTCAATTGATGGGTTTCATTGAAGGACTTCGACCTTCCATAATAATATTGTGATGTCCAGCATCAACAACACTGAGATCTCTCGAATCATTTCAGAAACACTTTTAGATTAATAACATTAGGTCAGATCTAACCATCATGCAAATACATTTCCCAACACATTAAAGCCTCATTTATGAAACGCAAGCAGAACAATACCATTTTTCATGTTAATCGTTCATATAACCATCCAAAATGTATTTTACAAAGTTGTGTTTGCTGAATGATTCCCACTGAGTGTTGTGGCGTGTAATGTGGGAGCTCTGACTACTGGCCAGTTTAAACACTGCAGGAACAACACCAGGTCATCAGCTAAATGTCAAATTTCAGTCCTTACATCTTAACCTCTTTTACTGGCAACGGTTTTCCGTCTTGGGAATGCATGGATGAGTCCTGAGCAGGGAAAAAAGAAACCATCCATCACCCTAAAAATAATTGTAATGAAATCTACAACATAAAAATGCACAGAAATAACAAGGAAAAGTAATTTCAAGTCATTACACACTGTTTCATTCTCTAATAACTTCATGCCTTATAGTCACACTCATCAGATTAGAGCTGTGCGGTGATATAGTTCACATTTTGCGGGATAAAAGCAGGTTCTCTATATAGTGTAACTACTGTATGCATGTGTAAAGTTGCTGACATCATCCACAGACACAAGTAGAAGAAAATGTAATTTGCTTGTTTTATCTAGTTTATTGTTTTAGGAATCTGATATGCTTTTTTATTTATTTTGGACACCTGTGTGTGTAGGAATTATGCATCTTTATATAGATATTTGATTATTTTTATAGGACCTATTATTTATTTTTCAAACTAACATTACTCTGTATGTTTGTAACATATTGGCTTTCTCTAAAGATGTAATAAAACCGTTGTTTATGGATGTTTTCTATGTTTTTTACTATTTATACACCCTCCCCTGAATCTTCGAATGAACAGTTTTCAGCCTCTGAGAAATGAGGTGATGTGCAATGTATATTATAACCTGAAAACTTTGCAGTCGCTTGCAAAAGAACTAAAATATACTTTTTCCTCCCACCTCGTATTATTTAAATCACAAAAGTTCAGCGAGGTTTTTTGTTTTTTGGTCTCGTGTATAATTTTGCCGTTAATATACAGTATTGTATTAATTTAGCATAGTTTTCTCCTGTTATCCATAACAAATCAGAACAGACAGAGAGGTCGTAACCCATGAGTTGAACAGCAAGTGTATATATATTCAGAAAAAAATATTTTGTGTGACTATTGTGTGACCCAGTGACTATTGGATCAAACCAGTAACCTTCTCGTCACCAGCCCTGACTGTAACCACTACACCACAGCACTCCCTATAACCACCAGATGGCCATGTTGGGTTTTTAGTTCTGGTCATTGGTTTACATGTCTTTATTTCACCCTGTTTTGTTTCTCACCAAGATGCAAACTCATTATTCAGTATTCTGAATGCTTTCTGCAACAGACGTTGCGATATAAGCTTGTCTTTGACGCCCTACATAGGCAGCTCACTGGTTTTGTAACCGTGTCAGTCTTAAGTTGACGTGTATAGTGTATGATGTGCTCAGACGTGTGTATTCAAGATCTTGTAAAAGCACCCAGAAGTCCATTTCAAAGTTAAATAAAAAAGGTTTAATGTTGTTAGTGGTGTGCAACGATTAATCGCATCCAAAATAAAAGTTTGTGCTTACATAAAATATGTGTGTACTGTATATTTTGTATATATATAAATACACACATATGCATGTATATATTTAAGAAAGTCCAGTTATGACATACTTACAGCGTTCACCTCTGTCTGGGACTTTTGGTTGGCCTTCTGTCGCCGCAGGTCAGATTTTATAAACGCTGTGAGGCAGAGAAACAAAGTCTGATCATTGAAAAGTTGTCCATTTTTACAGTTAATTTGCATTCACATGTGTGCATTTGGAAGACGCTTTTTTCCAAAACAACTTACATTGCTTTGAAGGCATACACTTAATCCTTTCATGCATTCCCTGGGATTCAAACCCATGACCTTGGTGTTGCTAGTGTCTGAGCTACAGGAATATCCTATTAATACCAACCCAGGCTGTACTTAAAGTCCCCCTGTAGTCAATCATTTTATCCCTTAAAACTCATCTTTGATCACCAAAATTATGTTTTTCAAAAAATTTCTTCATGTCTTAAAATATCTTGAATGTAACTCGACACCCTTGCCTCATTTAGTATGCGTGGTTCTATGAATATGCAAATGAGCCCCGCCTCCACTCACTCACTCAGCTCAGAGATCCACTGGTTGACGATCACACGTTGATCTGATTGGTTACAAGGTCGTTTGTGACGTCAGAAACACCAGCGATTTCAAACCGTGTTTTTGAGACTGTCTTTGGTTCACTGCAGTTTAAGCAGAAAATACTCAGCAATGCTGTCGACTTATGAATTTACACATGGTGTGTCTTAAAGCATATTAAAAACTCCACATACACACATAAACAACATTAAAAGCTGGATTTTCACCACAGGAGGATTTTAATACACTTACAAAATGACCATTGCGACATCATGGTTAATATGATGCCAGGTCTAATATGTAACACGGTGCTGAATAATAACTATATTCATGTACTACAGTTCATGCTACTCTAAGATACTTCAAAGAACGGGTCATTCAGATGAAAATAAAACAGATCAATGCAAATAACAAAAAAATTACATGGTTAGTAATTATTAACCATGTAATTTTTTTGTTATTTGCATTGATCTGTTTTATCATGCTAGAACAAAATAAAAAACTCTCCATATCTTTTGTTGTTGATGTCAATGGTTGTGTGTCCAATCAAACTCTCCTTCTGTCAATTACTGTAATTGCAATTTTCACCACCTCACTCAACTTCGGTTGAGCTGTTGTTGTGTCGGGCTGGTCCAGTCACAATGTTTAAAGTTTTGAGGGAAATGATACTTATTTATACAGTAGTTGACATATTAAAGTGGGATAAAAGAAAGACTTTTAACCTCACACACATCATCATTATTATGTATTAAGTATTTATTTATGGAAGCTTGTTTCCGCCACTGAATAAAAATAAATAAATAATTGCAACTTTTTATCTCACAATTGCGAGATATGAAGTCAGAATTGTGAGAAATAAAGTCGCAATTCAATTTCGAGATATAAAGTCGCAATTCTGAGAAATAAAGTCGCAATTGCGAGATATAAAGTCGCAATTATGAGAAATAAAGTCGCAATTATGAGATATAAAGTCGCAATTATGAGAAATAAAGTTGCAATTATGAGAAATAAAGTCGCAATTATGAGATATAAAGTCGCAATTATGAGATATAAAGTCGCAATTATGAGAAATAAAGTCGCAATTGCGAGAAAAAAAGACAGAATTGCGACTTTTTATCTCACAATAGGCTTTATGCACAGCTTCACTACTTCCTGAACTTCAGCCAGCCCTTTGTTTCCTGTCTGTCATAATTGGACAAACTGATTAATCCAGGTGTGCCTGATTATTGTTACTGAGGCCAGGCACACCTGGATTAATCAGTTTGTCCAATAATGACAGACAGGAAACAAAGGGCTGGCTGAAGTTCAGGAAGTAGTGAAGCTGTGGCATAAAGCCAATTCTGACTTTTTTTCTCACAATTGCGAGTTTACATCTCGCAATTCTGACTTTATATCATGCAATTTCGACTTTATATCACGCAATTCTGACTTTATATCACGCAATTCTGACTTTATATCACGCAATTCTGACTTTTTATCTCGCAATTCTGACTTTATATCACGCAATTCTGACTTCATATCTCGCAATTCTGACTTTATATCATGCAATTTCGACTTTATATCACGCAATTCTGACTTTATATCACGCAATTCTGACTTTATATCACGCAATTCTGACTTTATATCGAGCAATTCTGACTTCATATCTCGCAATTCTGACTTTATATCATGCAATTTCGACTTTATATCACGCAATTCTGACTTTATATCACGCAATTCTGACTTTATATCACGCAATTCTGACTTTATATCACGCAATTCTGACTTTATATCACGCAATTTCGACTTTATATCACTCAATTCTGACTTCATATCTCGCAATTCTGACTTTATAACTCGCAATTCTGACTTTATATCACGCAATTCTGACTTTATATCACGCAACTCTGACTTTATATCTCGCAATTCTGACTTTATATCACGCAATTCTGACTTTATATCTCACAATTCTGACTTTATAACTCGCAATTCTGACTTTATATCACGCAATTCTGACTTTATATCACGCAATTCTGACTTCATATCTCGCAATTCTGACTTTATAACTCGCAATTCTGACTTTATATCACGCAATTCTGACTTTATATCACGCAATTCTGACTTCATATCTCGCAATTCTGACTTTATAACTCGCAATTCTGACTTTATATCACGCAATTCTGACTTTATATCACGCAACTCTGACTTTATATCTCGCAATTCTGACTTTATATCACGCAATTCTGACTTTATATCACGCAATTTCGACTTTATATCACGCAATTCTGACTTCATATCTCGCAATTCTGACTTTATAACTCGCAATTCTGACTTTATATCACGCAATTCTGACTTTATATCACGCAATTCTGACTTCATATCTCGCAATTCTGACTTTATAACTCGCAATTCTGACTTTATATCACGCAATTCTGACTTTATATCACGCAACTCTGACTTTATATCTCGCAATTCTGACTTTATATCACGCAATTCTGACTTTATATCACGCAATTTCGACTTTATATCACGCAATTCTGACTTCATATCTCGCAATTCTGACTTTATATCACGCAATTCTGACTTTATAACTGCAACTCTGACTTTATATCTCGCAATTCTGACTTTATATCACGCAATTCTGACTTTATATCTCGCAATTCTGACTTTATATCACGCAATTCTGACTTTATATCACGCAATTCTGACTTTATAACTGCAACTCTGACTTTATATCTCGCAATTCTGACTTCATATCTCGCAATTCTGACTTTATATCTCGCAATTCTGACTTTATATCATGCAATTCTGACTTTATATCTCGCAATTCTGACTTTATATCTCGCAATTCTGACTTCATATCTCGCAATTCTGACTTCATATCTCGCAATTCTGACTTTATATCTCGCAATTCTGACTTTATAACTGCAACTCTGACTTTATATCTCGCAATTCTGACTTTATATCTCGCAATTCTGACTTCATATCTCGCAATTCTGACTTCATATCTCGCAATTCTGACTTTATATCTCGCAATTCTGACTTTATATCACTCAATTCTGACTTTATATCTCGCAATTCTGACTTTATATCACTCAATTCTGACTTTATATCACCCAATTGGGATTTTATATCAGGCAATTCTGACTTTATATCACGCAATTCTGACTTTTTATCTCGCAATTCTGACTTTATATCTCGCAATTCTGACTTCATATCTCACAATTCTGACTTTATATCACTCAATTCTGACTTTATATCACTCAATTCTGACTTTATAACATGCAATTGGGATTTTATATCACGCAATTCTGACTTTATATCTCGCAATTCTGACTTTATATCACACAATTCTGACTTTATATCACGCAATTCTGACTTTATAACTGCAACTCTGACTTTATATCTCGCAATTCTGACTTTATATCACGCAATTTCGACTTTATATCACGCAATTCTGACTTCATATCTCGCAATTCTGACTTTATAACACGCAATTCTGACTTTATATCACACAATTCTGACTTTATATCACGCAATTCTGACTTTATAACTGCAACTCTGACTTTATATCTCGCAATTCTGACTTTATATCACGCAATTTCGACTTTATATCACGCAATTCTGACTTCATATCTCGCAATTCTGACTTTATAACACGCAATTCTGACTTTATAACACGCAATTCTGACTTTATATCACTCAATTCTGACTTTATATCTCGCAATTCTGACTTCATATCACGCAATTCTGACTTCATATCACGCAATTCTGACTTCATATCTCGCAATTCTGACTTTATATCTCGCAATTCTGACTTTATAACTGCAACTCTGACTTTATATCTCGCAATTCTGACTTTATATCTCGCAATTCTGACTTTATAACTGCAACTCTGACTTTATATCTCGCAATTCTGACTTTATATCACACAATTCTGACTTTATATCTCGCAATTCTGACTTTATATCACTCAATTCTGACTTTATATCACGCAATTGGGATTTTATATCATGCAAATCTGACTTTATATCACGCAATTCTAACTTTTTATCTCGCAATTCTGACTTTATATCTCGCAATTCTGACTATATATCTCGCAATTCTGACTTTATAACTGCAACTCTGACTTTATATCTCGCAATTCTGACTTTATATCACACAATTCTGACTTTATTACTCGCAATTGGGATTTTATATCACGCAATTCTGACTTTATATCTCGAAATTCTGAGAAATAAAGTCAGAATTGCGAGATGTAAACTCGCAATTGTGAGATAAAAAGTCGCAATTACCTTTTTTATTTTTCATTCTGTGGCGGAAACAAGCTTCCATATTTATTTGATTGTGTTGATGTGGATGTTTTGTCATTGTTGTGTGTATAGCAAGACCAATTTTCAGCCAAGGCTGGACAATAAAGTACAACTAACTAAGCAAAATCAATTGAGAAGCACTGCTTCAAAGAATGTCATGAAACTACACTGAAAAATTATACTTTGCATAAAAAAAAAAGTTTAAACCAGAAACCACGATTTTCAGTAAGACGGTATAAAGAAGGCACTTTAAATAAATGACACAGTCGTTTAGTTTTTCTCAGCATGTATAAAACAACGACTTGTTTGAAGGATTAGTTCACTTTAAAAAAAACTTTTGCTGATAATTTACTCACCCCCACCTCATCCAAGATGTTCATGTCTTTCTTTCTTCAGTCGAAAAGAAATGAAGGTTTTTGATGAAAACATTCCAGGATTTTTCTTGAACCTTGAACCGTTTGGACCCCATTGAAGTCACTATATGGAGAAAATCCTGGAGTGTGTTCCTCAAAAACCTTCATTTCTTTTCGACTGAAGAAAGAAAGACATGAACATCTTGGATGAGATGGGGGTGAGTAAATTATCAGCAAAAGTTTTTTTTAAAGTGAACTAATCCTTTAAGTGTGCAACTGTGACACAACAAGCTGAAGTCATGCTGTAATAAAACATCACATGTGCAGAAGAGGAGTGCAACTGTTAGTGGTCACATGTTGAGTGTCATGTGATGAGTTTCTACCTGTCATGATGGAGCCGATGAAGAGGAACACACAGAGGAAGATGTTGCCGGCCAGTGTGCTGAAGTGATCCAGGATTTTGCCTTGAATGATGGTGAATGCGATTCCAAACATCTGCACACATCAGTAAGATCGTGAGCATGTGTGCCGGGAGCTGCCATGGATTTAGATGTGACTTGCATAAACACAATTTGGAAATGTTAACTTGTGAAAGCAAACTGAACCATGGAAAAAATGCAACATTGTAATAATTTAAAGGATTAGTAGTTAAAAAGTAGTATTAAAGTTTCCTGATAGTTTACTCTCCCCCACATCATCCAAGATGTTCATGTCTTTCTTCAGTGGAAAAGAAATGAAGGTTTTTGAGGAAAACACTCCAGGATTTTCTCCATATAGTGACTTCAATGGGGTCCAACGGGTCGAAGGTCCAGATGTGAGTTTCAGTGCAGCTTCAAAGTCTCGACACGATCCAGCCGAGGAATAAGAGTCCAATGATCGTCAAAAAACCCCCCAAAAAAACATTAATATACTTTTTAACCACGAATGCTTGTGTGGTGGCAAATAAAATGATATCGCTGAATAAGAGACAAACATTTCCAATTGTCTTTGATGAGGTTTTGTGAGTTTGGGTTGCTTATATGACGTTCATATGGGAACGCAATCTGCGCCATTTCACCAGATTTGTAACGTACATCATCTATAAACCTACGCCAATGCAGGAGAATACATCAATATGTTTCCAAATATGCAAACTGTTCATTCATCGTGACTTCACAATAAAAGTTTAGACCCTCATGAGTTTGTGTGTTTTGATGTGTACATGTTCTTGTTCAAGAAATTACAGTGGCTGCAACATTTCCATCGTAAAGAAGTGGCCAAATATTAAAGGGATGATCTTCCGTGGTTCTGCCATTGAGAAATTGTCAAAATTTCTTTCCACTTTGTTAGAGAAAAAACAGGTCAAGATATGATGTAACACCCGAATTAAAAGTGATAGTGTCCGGCCCATTGCCCTCAAACTACTCTGATCAAGCAGTTCAGTTTGTGGCTTTAACTGAAGCCTGTAAATGAATGGCAAGGAAATGTGTGAAGATTTACACAGATTATCATATTCGTTCGGGGTAGCTCATGATTTTGGGGCGATGTGGAAATGTAAACATTTTTTTAAGTTAGATTGTGAGTTAGTATCAAATTTGATGGATGCTATGTTGTTGCCTGATCAAATTTCTATCTGTAAATGCGCAGCGCATAGTAGCAAAAGAGATTCTATTTTTGTAGGAAATGCCAGGAAAAGCTGCTTTTTTCGGACTCCTTACAGAGCATGAAGTCTTTTGATTAAGAAAGTCTGTTTGGACAACATGACATCATGACTTTGCGTAAACATACACGGCACTTTCAAGTCAAGTGGCGTGTTATCTATACGCATTTTGATGTATGTGTATGTCCACGCCGAAACGAACCGTCATCTTTTGCGTGTATGTCTACGCCGTTAATTAAATGTCCGAGCGAAACGAAGCAAAATGTAGATCTACATCTGGGGAGCGATATTTTTTTTCCTAGGATGGTAGGGGAAGACTCATAAATGGTATTAACCCCAGTGACGGTAGGGACGGGGTTTGGGGTAGGTCATATACAGTAATGTACGTTAAGTCAACGGCATTGATAAACACGCTGAAAAGCGATTATGCGTGTTGATAGCGCGCCAAAAATGGAAATACGAATTGGCGTGTCATACATACGCCATTTCATGAGATCAGCCTGGTTTGGAGGAAATGTGGCTGTAGTATTAAAGATTTTTGGTTTAGTCGATGGCAAACCTTGTTTAAGGAAACGTTTCTTCAACCACTATGTTAAATTGATGCACGGGTTGGACCATGCATCAAAAACTTTTGTTTGGAAAAAAAAGAAGTTTGCTTTGGATATAGTTTGGAAAACCCCAGTTATGAGAATGGAAGGGGTTAAAAACAACGAGTGCCAGAGTTGTGTGAACATGACATGTTGTAAATAAATGTCTTCTCTCCTATCTAACATTTATGTTTAGGTGAAGGCAGCTCAAGGAAAAGCAGCTGATATCCCACTGCACAACATCAAACCAGCAGATTTATGAAGGTATAAGTGGATTATAAAAAATCTGACAGTTCTTGTTCAAATTATAATGTACATTTATGTTCTTCTATTTTTATGTGGGCTATAATGGTTTGGCAATAGCAAACAGCACTGAGAATGCTTTCACAATGATTAAATTAAACAAATTAAAGACGCTAAACGAATAAAAGATGCCAGTGATAGTGATAGGAGTTTTGGTGCCTGCCATGTATAATTCAATGTATTTCAGCTTTAGTGGAGAGAATGGTGAAAAGTACAGTTTCATATTCAATGCTTCAAATGTGTTGTTATGAGTATCAATTCAAAGATATATATCCAAACCCACAGAATTTCGATGATGACACGACCAGCGGAAGTTACAGTAAAATGTATTAATTGAGTTAAGATGTATTTTTTTCTATTCTGAACATCTATACTATTTCTTGTTTGTACTGAGGTGACTGAAGGTCTGACCTAGCGTCAGGAGTGCAATAACAATTCAGATACAAATCTTTACTTGCTTGCTTATACTTAAGGAACTATCCCCACAAAAACAGCCTAAACTTTCTTCTTTTCAAATCTTCTTTCACAAATTTAAGAGTGATCATTTTTTATGGAAATCAGGAATGGAGAGTATAAATGTGATGATGTAACTTAAATTGGCTGTATTATAATATAGTTATCAATTAGTGATAATAGGGGGAGAATTGTGGTGGAAAATCTTTAAGATGTGTGTGATCATCAAATGACAGTAAAAGAGCAAACACACAATCCTTATTCTGACGTGGAATTGTATTGGAATGGTAAAGAGTGTTGGTACGAGAAAATAAACCTCAAAGACAAGTGTTTTACTTTTTCTTTTTTTTTTTGTAAATGGCGTTTGACTGTCTTTGCACGTTTGCTTTGTAAACACTGGGTCGGTTCTTACACCTACGTCACGCTTGACCTTTCAACCTGATCACGTAATGTGTGTCGCATCACTAGTGCAAGACCAGCGTTAGTGGTTAAAAGTAAATAAATATTTATTTTTTTAATAAAATGTCCGCTGGTTTGTCTAGATCAGACTCTTATTCCTCGGCTGGATCGTGTCGAGACTTTGAAGCTGCACTGAAACTCACATCTGGACCTTCGACCCGTTGGACCCCATTGAAGTCACTATATGGAGAAAATCCTGGAGTGTGTTCCTCAAAAACCTTCATTTCTTTTCCACTGAAGAAAGAAACACATGAACATCTTGGATGACGTGCGGGAGAGTAAATTATCAGGAAATTTTAATTCTGAAGTGAACTAATCCTTTAAGTCCCCGTTTCGTAACAAAGCAGACGATCTGCAGGTCTGGGATCAGAGAGTGTATGCATGACCTGCGCTGAGCAGTTGAGCAGTCCTGACGATGTTCCCTCCGACTCCGGGTACGTGAGCTCCACTGCAAACTCGAAGCCCAGCGGCAGATAACCCGTCATGAAGAACCTGTCGCACACCACACAAGAATCACAACGGTCCACACGTGTGTGACTTTGGGTAAACCTTGAATTTTGAATTAATATTAATAAAAAATATTTCATTTTACAAAGAAAAAAAACATTAATACAAAGTAAAACGATTATTTATTATAAAGACCTGCTATCTACCTTAATGTAGATCAATATTTTTTTTTTTTTTTTTGCTTTTTAAAATCACCATCACTGTATGCAGCATGACTGGAAATAGCGGATATTTATCAGTCAGCCATCAGCACATTTAAAACTAATTTTTTTTTATTATCTATATTTAGATGTGGATCCAGGTTAAATGTTACTTCATGGTCAGTATGTGTAGAAATGGATGGTTCACATGGATCATTCTGTACTCTTGTTGAGTATCATATTTGATCCAGCAGGCATTTATACATTTATTTATATTAAAAAAATGAAGATGAAATTCTGATAACTTATAATGTAAATCAATGAGATCTTTATAACAGTATAGCAGATACTTAAACTGCATATAAATATCATTTGTCACTCTATATCAGCAAATAATATCTCTGTCACGGTTTGGTTGAAAGAGGATGTAATAAGTGCATCTCAGGATCAGAAAACATAACAAATCAATCAAAGAAACAAGACACAGCTGACATGACTAATAAAACAATGAGAAACCCAGGAACTAAGGGGCCGTTTACACGACACCGCTTTCAACTAAAAACGTAAAACTTTTAATGCGTTCTGGCCGTTCATTTACACAACAACTGCGTTTTGGATGCCTGAAAAGGCTAAGGCTAATATCCATGTAAATAACAAAAACGTGAATCTCTGAAGACGTGTAACGTGCTGGAGAAAGCAGGCGAGGATGAGGATCTATCTGCAAGGTTTTAATGACATAACACATAGAAAAAATAATAAAGAACTCCAGGGACAAAGAAATAAAACCACTAAAAGGACCAAACTAGAAGCAACCATACATGTACAACAACTGACAAAGTAACAAGTGAAACACAAGGGCTATAAATACACATGGACAAACAAGCTTAACTAAGTAATGAGGAAACAAGACACACCTGGGAACAATCATGAACTAATCAACATGAAAAACTACATAGGACTACAAAACTTAGCACAAGACAGGAAATGACAACAGTACACACAAGACAGGAATCATGACACTAGTGGCCTGGCAGCAGAATACAGCGTTTCTAGTTGTTTTAGCTGATCCGTGTGAATTGGGATCGTTTTGACAATGGTGTCGTCTGTACGCGGGAAACTCGAAGAAAAAACTTCTCCGTTTTAAGCATATCGTTGTCTTGTAAGCGTACCCTAACTAGCGGGGGGAAAGGAACAAAGGAAACAGAAAACAGAGAAAAAACCAACTCATAGTAAAACTCAAACACAGATACAACATAACAGAACCCTGACAATGTCTTAGTAAGATGATATGCTTAGTTTTATGATCAAAGCTCTGTAGTTTTGAAACATTTAATGCAATGTAATACAATGATGATTGAGAGATGAACAAGTAAATCTTCCTCAAAAGCCTGATGATCATATTTGACAATCATGATTTTTCTATAAATGATGTTTGATAATCAAGTAAAGCGAAGCTGCTTCAGTCCAGCTGAAATATTACTAACAATATCAAAGTTATTCCTTGATAAATCAGGTCAGATTTGACACAGAAAGACTCGTGAAGTTCGAGCTGAAGGAGGACGTTTGTACAATTACACTGAAAGACTTTTACCGGATAAAAGAGTCGAAACTCTCAGTCAGAGACAGAAGGACTGAGGAGATCGAGTGCGACAGGTTTAACAGATCATGTTGAGTATTTAGAGGTGTTTCAAACATGATACAGTAGCTTTATAGGTTTAAAAGTGTGAAATGGACATTTGTTGTGAAATTCCTCAGTGTGTTTGGCACATGTGCTCTTTGGTCAGAGGGGAAGAAATCTGATGTGATCGTATTCAGTGACAAAGCTGAGAAAAGTTTAATTTTTTTTTAAACAGAAACAAGCTCTCTCCCCTCCAGAAAGTATATTTTTCGTAACACATTATTTTAAGGTGAAAGTTACACATTACTGTATGCTTTAAATCACTATGAAATCAAAATTGAACATTCTTATTTTTTATGGAATATTGCTGTATTTATTATGTTTTATTCATGCATCGTTGTTTTAAATTCACTCATAATATTGAATCCGAATAACATGACTTTTGCGGCAGCATCTCTTCTCTTCTTTGATGACGAGGGCGGGGCTATAACCTGTCACTCACATGAGATCAGCCAATAGCAAACCACAACCATCCAATCACCCAATCAATTCCCCACAGACAAAATCAAGCCCCGCCCACATTTGTTCTTGTTCCAGAAGTGTTTCACTTTGATATTCATCACAATAGGGAAGAAAAGACTTTGGTTTCATGCCGACTTAATTGTCCTAACATATTTGTGCCCAATGCATGGTGCAGCTCTTACCCCAGAACTCCTGATGTGAGGAACACGACCCACAGATGACCCAAGTTCAGGGTGAAGGCGTAGATCACCATCCCCACAAACGACAGCAGATAAACTGCGAGAGTCGTCTGCCTGGCAAGACAAAGAGGAGGATAACAAGATGGCTATTCCCATCATTTCTGTGAGGACAAAAGTTTTAACTACACATACAAGAGAATTTTGTCCAGCTTTGTTGCAGCAGCTGTTCCAGCATCACAATAACCCTGTGCAAAAAGCATCATACTACATGTGATAGTATAAATAGTCCTACAAAATGTTGAACTCCAATAGTGATAATGTCATTTACAAAACATGTTTATTGGGATACTTTGATCTTTAATCTTGGCAGTGATTTGTCATACATTACACATTGTGTGAGTTGAAATATCATGGTTGTGAGAGAGAATATATATCCACAGCATGGTTATAAATGCAGAAATGGGCAATATCTAAGTCAAGATGAAGGCTGGCTTTAATATTGTCTGATTTTATTTTATAAATATTTTACTTTATAGTTAAAAGACATAGCCTATGTGTGTCGTGATGCTCTATTATTCTGCTAGTTAAAAATGTATTATGCACTAACTTACAATATTGCTCTGAGTGTGTGTGTGTGTGTGTGTGGCAGTGATTTGTGTGCATCAGTCAGTGTGACAGCGCACTTTAAGCAAGTTCGTAGAGAGTTTTATTCAGTCCATTGTAAATTCTGATTTTGGCCGTCTCTCAAATGGGTCAAACCATAGATATTACATAAGAAGTTCAAGAAAAAGCGCTAGAAATCCGCGCTCAATTAAGGATGTGCATTTATTGCATGGACGGAGAAAAAGCACACCTGCAGGATTTCACAACGCGCACAAGGTTTCTTTTTTTACACTAAAAAGTTAAATAAGCATATCTAGTCTATCTGTTTCGTGAGAGCAACGGTACCGCAAAACGAGTGTAGCCTCTATATCTATAGACGTTTAAATCTAAAAACTCCCAAAAGCAACGAAATTGTCAGAAATCCATTAGTGGTTGAGGAGATTCCCCCTTCCAAAGCACTTTGAGTGTCTAGAAAAGCGCTATATAAATGTAATGAATTATTATTATTATTATAAGTGCATGTTCACAGAGGAAAACAACTGGAAAACAGCGCTGGTTGTTCTCTCGATACTCGACAACGATGGAATCCAAAGGCGTGGGCGAAGGTAGGCTATAATGCATGCATTCAATTGTATGAAATAATCCCGAAAAAAGCACAAACACGGCAGAGATGGCAAGTTCAGCAGCTGGAATAAGCTGAGGTGACGGCTAACAGCAGACAAACGGTCAGTGGTGACAGCAGCGGCAATCCACCTGTCACTCAAGTCGATGAACTGCAGTTTAAGTCACTTCCCTGTTGGCTTCACGGGAGAGACTGGAAGGTTGCCGCTCGGTCCGGACTAACACATACTTGCCCTGGATCAACAGCCAAAGCCTCCGCAGGGCCGTAAATACAGCCAGCAACTGATGTGCCAATGTTGATGCATCCTGGGCCCTGTCCAAGGCCCTAAAGCTGCTCGCCCTTTGCATTCAGCACCCCAACTCCTTGTTGAATGCATCTGTTGTGACAACAACACGTCTTGTTCAAGGGGAAGCCCTGCTTGTAGAAATGTAGACAAGGTCTGTCCAAGGAGTAAAACGCAGCAAAAGATGAATCTGAATCTGAAGCTAGTGCTGAAGTGGTCTCATATGCATCAACCTGGCATGTGTATACACTCATATACCTCTGAGTGTGCTAGAACTAGCCAGTTGTCGAGATAGTGAAGAGTGTGAATGCCCACTCGACTTTTGTCAAGACGCGAGGTGACATGGACAGCCCGAAGGGGAGGACCTTGTACTGATATGCTTATCACTCGAAGGCAAACCGTAGGAACGATCTGTGCCCAGGGAGAATTGAGACTTGACAGTACATGTCCCTCAGGTCTATCGCCGCGAACCAATCTTGATGTTGAACGTATGTGATCCTGCGTCAGAATTTTGAATGGGAGCTTGTGCAGGTCCCGTTTCAATACTCGCAGATCTAAGATTGGCCGCAACCCACCACATTTCTTTGGTACCATGAAATAAGGGCTGTGATTCTCTTTAGTCATCTAGGCTGGAGGGACAGGCTTTCTCGCATCCTTCAGCAGAAGATCCATGACAAATGTATATTTCCCTCACACCAAGGTGAAAAGGAAACTGTTGAACAGCCGAGTCGAATTGTTCTAATGAGCCAGCGTGATGGGTTGGAAGCGTTAACCACTCGTCCGAACATTGCACAAGGGGCACCAAGGGAACAACAGTTTTTGTTTGTGCCAAATAGACCCCCTTGGGAGATGTCGTAATCTCTTGGCATCCCTCATCCCCGCAAGGTTGAACCATAGATGCCATTCCTGGACCAGGAGGGTGGTAACCTTCTTACTGTACAGTACTATTTGTCATGTAGCCAAAATATAGCATAATTGAGCATGAACCACATACAACTTTACATTTGGCTTTATTAACTAGACTAAACACTTCAAGAAGTTAATTCAAGAAATGAAAATAGAAAAGCGTAGATACCAAACATGATATACACTCACCTAAAGGATTATTAGGAACACCATACTAATACTGTGTTTGACCCCCTTTCGCCTTCAGAACTGCCTTAATTCTACGTGGCATTGATTCAACAAGGTGCTGAAAGCATTCTTTAGAAATGTTGGCCCATATTGATAGGATAGCATCTTGCAGTTGATGGAGATTTGTGGGATGCACATCCAGGGCACGAAGCTCCCATTCCACCACATCCCAAAGATGCTCTATTGGGTTGAGATCTGGTGACTGTGGGGGCCATTTTAGTACAGTGAACTCATTGTCATGTTCAAGAAACCAATTTGAAATGATTCGAGCTTTGTGACATGGTGCATTATCCTGCTGGAAGTAGCAATCAGAGGATGGGTACATGGTGGCCATAAAGGGATGGACATGGTCAGAAACAATCCTCAGGTAGGCCGTGGCATTTAAACTATGCCCAATTGGCACTAAGGGGCCTAAAGTGTGCCAAGAAAACATCCCCCACACCATTACACCACCACCACCAGCCTGCACAGTGGTAACAAGGCATGATGGATCCATGTTCTCATTCTGTTTACACCAAATTCTGACTCTAACATCTGAATGTCTCAACAGAAATCGAGACTCATCAGACCAAGCAACATTTTTCCAGTCTTCAACTGTCCAATTTTGGTGAGCTCTTTCAAATTGTAGCCTCTTTTTCCTATTTGTAGTGGAGATGAGTGGTACCCGGTGGAGTCTTCTGCTGTTGTAGCCCATCCGCCTCAAGGTTGTGAGTGTTGTGGCTTCAAAAATGCTTTGCTGCATACCTCGGTTGTAACGAGTGGTTATTTCAGTCACTGTTGCCCTTCTATCAGCTTGAATCAGTCGGCCCATTCTCCTCTGACCTCTAGCATCAACAAGGCATTTTCGCCCACAGGACTGCCGCATACTGGAGGTTTTTCCCTTTTCACACCATTCTTTGTAAACCCTAGAAATGGTTGTGCGTGAAAATCCCAGTAACTGAGCAGATTGTGAAATACTCAGACCGGCCCGTCTGGCACCAACAACCATGCCACGCTCAAAATTGCTTAAATCACCTTTCTTTCCCATTCTGACATTCAGTTTGGAGTTCAGGAGATTGTCTTGACCAGGACCACACCCCTAAATGCATTGAAGCAACTGCCATGTGATTGGTTGATTAGATAATTGGATTAATGAGAAATTGAACAGGTGTTTCTAATAATCCTTTAGGTGAGTGTACATGTGATCTTGATTAAGTAAGGCTAAATCATTAATTCCAAGAGTTTAGATGAATACATAGGCAAAATACTGTAAAATAACATATGATTGCATAGGAAAATTGGATACATGATTTTACAGATCTCAAGTGATTATTTCGAGACAGTTTAGGATCGGATTGGACTGTACAGAAAAAGAGTACATTTGTCTGTTTCAAAGTGAATTTACAGTGAAACCAGTCTTATTTTGATTTGTCTTTGTTACGTGGTGTTAGCTGCAGTTTGGGGGTAGTTGTATAGAGCTCGACCTCATGGTTTTCTCGTTGGGTGAGGGGAATTGTGGATTATTTGTAAAATATGACAAACACTTATGTGTCTGATCTGTCCGAGTCACTACAATGCTCAACATGGGGAAGGTCGGAGTACCTCCTGGGTGCCCCGCCGTTGAGGGAAGTGAGGGCAGAAGAACCTGTGAAGCGTGTTCTGGCAGTAAAAAGGGCTTTCCATGACTTTGTGAACCCTTCTTGCACCTCAGGTACCTCGTTTCCATCAAAAAAGAACTGGTTTGGAACTGGTGCTGGTTCAAAGTAGGTTCAACTTGCGAACCTTCTCAGAACCTGTTTGTTTTTCCACTGACTAGAGAGCGTTACGTTACTGTGTACGTCGCCATAAGTCTTAGCTTTCCCATTCCCGTCATGTTGTTGGTCACAATAACCCGCCCCCAGCCCCCGACGTAAGCATGACGTGGTAAAAGAACGGTTCTAGTCCAGCAAAGAGTTGGTGCCGCTTTGGAACCAATTTTCCTGGCCAAGAACCGGTTCTTTGGCTGTCGAAACACAAAGAACTGGTTCGCGAGTTGGCACCGGCTCCGAACCGGCTCTCAAAATGATTTGGTGGAAAAGGGGTAAGGAAGAAAAGAACTGGGGTTGACTGTGGCTATGAGCAGCGTTACAAGCCCAGAAACCAATCGTCAGGGCAGGGTGGAGGGATCCACTTGAGCCTGATGTTCACAGCAGCGTCAGACTCAGTCTGTGCAATCACACCTGATGGTGGAGGCCCAGATGAGTCTTCAGCCTCAAAAGGCTGCTTTCTCCTTAAAAAAGCAAGAAAGTCACAAGCGCAACTTTATGATGGCCATGCTCTCACAGTGATCACATGTACCATCCATGAAAACTGCTTCAGCATGGGTCAGGCTCAAATAACTGATGCAGTGATCATGGCCGTCTGAGGGAGACAGGTGTCAACTTTCATCGGAGTTGCTCTTGTAGCCCCTCCATTTCGCACCGCCAGCATGGGAGCCAGGCGCCCTAAAAGGGA